TTCGATTCTTCCAGAAGTTTATATCTGACAGCTGTACTCTGATTTGAGTGCAAGTAACTTTATTGGGAGGGGATCCCAGGAAGCACTGGCAGGGAGAATGCGGAAGTGAGACAGGAACAGAAAGTGTGATAACAAGCCAGTGACTACTGTGGGCAAGAAGAGCCTGGTTTTACTGGGGAGCCCTGGTGAACAGAGTAGAATAGGGGTCTCAGTGTCATCCTCCCCAATGCACTGGGAGTGCCCATCATTTCCCATGAGCCACTGATGAAGGTTGTTAATTCTTGGACCCTCATAGTCTGTCCTGAGTGCAGGCGTAGAGAGCTCTGCTGATCAGGAAACTTTCCCGGTCAAAATACATACTTCTGGCATTTGGGGAGTAGGGTTTGGGGAGTAGGGCTACTCTGAGTTAAAATGGCAAAGGCCATAGAGAAATAAGGGGAGAGGGTTCTGGCAGCACCCAATGCATAATAACTGCTTATCTTCCTCTTACTCAGATTCTCTTTCTTCCAGAAGTTATTTTCTTGTGTGTTTTAATTCTACTATTTTATTTGAAAACTTGTGCCAATGTTATTGAATGTTTGTCTTTAGTTATTTTTAGCCTGAAATGTTGGATTGAAACATATCATTTCTTTCCAAAATGTGTTTTTGCCTTTACTATTTCTGACCTTGAAATAACCACAGCAGAATGTGTGTTCATTGTGGGCAAGGAATTTGTCTCTCTGGTTTGTCTTTGTGTTGTCATTAGAATAGTGACTGGCACATAGTAGATGTTCGCCAAATACTTGTTAAAAATAAATATGAGCTTAGAAAGATGAAGTCAAGATGGGAGAAGAGTATCTCCAGTGTTAGGAATATCTGATAAGTATTTAAACAAGGAAACTCACATATTAGGTCCCATGAATGAAGGTAACTATACAGCTGTCCTAATCGTTCAGAGTTCAAATATGTCTTTTACAAAAACATAATTATGTAGATAAGAAGTAAATGTTTGGGCTGGGGCATGATTCAAGTGGTAGAGTGTTTGCCTAGAAAGTGCAAGACTCTGAGTTCAAACCTTAGTACTTCAAAAAAAGAGTAGAATGTATATAAATATGCTACATTGGTGTGCTTAAGAGTGGCAAAAATGCCACGACCTGCCTTTAGGTCAAGGTCGTAAAGAGGAAGAAGTATGACATTTCAAATTAGATACATTTCTCAGAGACAATAATAGTGAATTTACATGCTGACAACTCGGGGAGAAGGATAATGCAGGAATATATCACCATAATGTGATAATTTTACGTTTCCTTGTATTGTCTGACAAAGGCAATATCAAGTTTACACTGCTTCCTAATGTCAAAAGATAAGAGAGGAAACAACAATAGATAAGGGTGTATTGAAATAGAAGCTTTTCTAGTACTCTTTTCATAAGTATAAATGTTTATAAATTGTTCTTGTGGAAAAATAGACTTGTAAGAACAATGTTAATTTTAAATAGACCCATAGTCATGAATCCGTTAGTAAATAAAATGCTTTATCTGAGTATCTTATCAATATACTTTTGATTTAGAAAATATTCTTTGCTCATTCCACTAATTTTTTTTGAGAAACTTGTTATGCTTCCAAAGAGAAGTGACAGTACCAAGTCAACAGTATCAAGTCCTTCTTTTTATGGATTTCCATTGCAATAGGAGGATACAGACAAAACATTAGTAAACAAAAGTAAAAAAAAAAAACCATATTTTAACATGCTAATAGATATTTTATAGAGAATAGAAGAGTAAAATGAGTTAGGAAAGTCCGCTTGCTTAAGGAGTTAACATTTGATCTTGGACCTTAATAAGTGTTCCCAGAAGAGGGAACTCAAAATATGAACTCACTAAAGTAGGAATGAATTTGGAGTGTTTAAGGAACAGAAAGATCTCATAGTTGGAAGGTGCTGAGTGAGAGTGAGAAATGATGAGAGTTGAAGGGCAGTAGGGCTGGGTTGTGCCCTCTCTTTTGTGAGCTGCAATGTAGAAGATGGATTTTTTTCTTCCTGGGTATATTGGTACCAGTCTTGAATGGTTTCTATTGTTGGGGAACAAATGTTAGTTAGAAACAAGGTCTCCTCCCAATCCCAAATTCCAGAAAGTTAGAAGAGAAAGAAAGCAATTTTATTTTTGAGTAAGCATTCAACCTGAATGTGATGTACATCAGGGTAATCCAATAAAGAGATTGTAAAAAAGAAAGAAATCTCACTCTTTTTTTTGTGATGCAGTGGATACAATTCATTACTTAAGGTAGGTTTTGCAACATGAAGTCAGGTGACAAGTCAGGCCCATCTCCTTGAAGGAGTTTGGATGACCAGGTGTTGTCTTCCTTGATGATTCCACTTCGAAGAAATTAAGAGTAGATCAAGACCATGGTGGCTTGGTGTAGGCTGGTGATAATGAAACCAGAGAGAAGAGAAGAGGTAAGGCTTTATGTTTTAGCCAGGGTTCTTGGGAGAAAGAGAACCTGGCAGAAGGTGTGGGGGAGAATTGGCTCACACAATGGAGACCATCAAGTCTAAAATCAACAAGAGCAGGCTGGAAGTTTACAAAAGAGTTGATATTACATTTCAAACCCGTGTTAGTCAGCTTTTTATCACTATACCAAAATACCTAAGGTTATCAACTTATTAAGAGAAAAGTTTTATTTTGACTTACAGTTTTGAAGGTTCGAGCCCATGATTGGTTAGACCTGTTGCTTTGTGCATTATGGTGGGAGTGAATGGCAAAACCAAACTGCTCACACCTCGTGGTGGGGAAGAAAAAAGAGAGAAAGGGGTTGGAGCCCCATGACACTGCCTTAAGCTTGCAACCCAGGGACATAAGGACCTGCCATGAGGTCCCACCTCCCAAATGCACTACCTCGAGGACCAAGACTTTAACACATGGGGCTTTGGGGGACATTGGGGCAAATGCAGCAGAGTCTAAAGGCAGTCTAAGGGCAGAATTCCCTCTTCTTTCTTGGGTTGCTTTCTCTTAAGGTCTTCAGCTGACTAGATGAGGCCCACCCATATTATGGAGGGTAATCTGATTTACTTAGTCTACTGATTTAAATGACCTCATCTTTAAAAACGACTTCATAGCAACATCCATTTTTGGTATTTGGCCAAATAAATACATACCATGACCCACCAAGTTGACACATAAAATTAGCCATTGTAGCATATTTTTGCTGCAAATTATTGTCTATTTGACGATAGATTCTTCCATTGTCTAGGAAAGTGCAAGAAAACAGAACCCAGGATGACTTAAGGTTTAGTGCTATAAATCACAGCAGAGCATGGGCTTCAACAAAATGAGGTCAAGTGTGGGAAAGAGTTCAGATAGACTGGAGGAGACTTGCTCAGTATGGAGTGTTCAGATGACAGATGTCAACGCCAGAGAAGCCCACAGAAGTAGGCTTTATGGAGTCCCAATCCCAAGAAAGCAAATGAGCACAAATAAGTAATGGCCAAGGGGCAGAGATAGCACTTCAAAATAGCATAGAATTAGAAACCCAGATAGGATAGAAGCAGGAGGTCTAATAGGTATAGACAAGAGCAGATAAAAAATAAACTCTCTCTTTGGGAGAAAATAATCTTTGGAGCCAAGATTCATGATAAGCTTTCAGTTGAAGATTGATCTCAGAGTGTAGGGAGTGCTAACCTCACTGGTTGTTGAAGACAGAAAACAAGAGCCAGGTTTGTGAAAATGCTTTATAATTAGAGAAGGCCTCTTCTAGTGGCACTAGTCTTATTTTTTAAAATTTCATTGGGATGGTTTGATTAAAAACAGTGACTCATTTATTCAGACCCTGCAATACTACTGGCTCATTTTGAAAGAACTGGGGAAAGTTAGTAGACAGAATTTAGGAAAAAGTCACAAGAAGTGTTTAATTTATATCACAAAATTAAGAGAAACCAGTCATTTCTTTTCATTTGTATGTTCTTTAAAAATAATCAGAAAAGGAAAAGCTTGACATGAATTCAACTTTGATTCAAGCAGAAAAATTGCTTACCAGTTCCTTTTCTCTTTCCTTTTTTGTGTGAGGAAGTTCCATTTTTGCCAGTTAGCAGCTATAACCAGTAAGTAAAAGCCATCCATGTACATTCACTTAAGTTACCAACTCCAAATTACAGCCATAAAAATCACTTATTTTTAAGTTATATTTAAGAATCACCTCCAGTGATCCAAAACTTATTTTCATTTATTCTTTACTGAAAATCCCACAAATACATTTTTGTATCCTTCGCTAGACAAAGGTTAGATTGAGTATGTCAATAAAATGAAAGGTGATGTAATATTATAGAATTCTAGGTGTTAAACCTTTTGGTTCCCTATTGTTGGAAGAGAAAAACAAAACATAACAAAAACAAAACCAAAAAAGTAGTCAGGTGAGCCTGATCTGAGCTAGCCAGAGAGCACATCAAAAAACCATAGGAGGTAACATGAAGATGAAATGATCTAGAGTAAAAATAGTTTTAACATTTAAAAATTGCAATATCCTAGTGCTGTTACTGGAGTAATTTTAGATAGGTTTCATCTCCCTACCTCAGATGTGTTACTCTTCAAAATCCTATGCTAGGACATGCATGTATTTAATCTTATAGCTTATTGTATTAAATTAACCATATTCCCCGTATATTGATATTATTCCTTTTTGTTATCTGCCTTTTATGTTCATTCCACTGTATTTTGTGAGCATTTGTGGTAGGCGGTAATTTAAGACTACTCATGACTCAGACATCTTGAGGACTTCCAGGTGATTGCCACCAGCCACAGATGCTACCTATGGCGGACCTTTCAATCTAGCTCCTCCCTGCAGTCCTCCCCTCTAGCTTCCAGGATCCCCAAGAGGGTAATGTGTCATTCAAGGCATGGTTACAGTCCCCTTTTTTCCTGTAATCATAGATCTTTAGGGAAATGGAAAGATTGGGAACTTTCGACTTAAGATATTATCACTGCTATGTGGACACACGTGAACACGTTTTCTTTCTTCTTTTTAAACAGACAGCAGACAATTTTTAATCTATAATGAAGATCACAAACGCTGCGTGGAAGTAATAAACCCCAGTGCCGTCCAAACAGCCATTTGCAATCCAGAGGCTGAGTCCCAGAAATTCCGATGGGTGTCTGAATCCCAGGTTATGAGTGTTGCTTATAAATTATGCTTGGGGGTGCCATCAAAAACAGATTGGGTTGCTATCACTCTATATGCTTGTGACTCAAAAAGTGAATTCCAGAAATGGGAATGCAAAAATGATACACTTTTTGGGATCAAGAATGAAGATTTGTTTTTTAACTATGGTAATAGACAAGAAAAGAATATTATGCTCTACAAGGGGTCTGGCTTATGGAGCAGGTGGAAGATTTATGGAACCACAGATGACTTATGCTCTAGAGGTTATGAAGGTAAGAGGCTTGGAATTTTGTAGTTTTGTGTCAAATTTCTCCCATCTTCTTAGTTGGAATTCAATAAAATAAATGTGTTCTTATATGGTCTGTACAATATTAATTGATCACTTTTCTTATGTTTTGAATTATTTTCTGTTGTAGGAGAACATAATGGTGAATAAATGTGATAAAATGTCCCGAATAATACTTTAGCTCTTTGTAATTAATAGGAAGACATTATTTTGAATTGCTCTAAAGTATATATTTCTAAACATTGGGATGCAGTTTTTAGAAAACAATTTTCATTAGTCTTTGACCCAAAGCATCCTAGTTAACATTATAAGTTTGCAGTGTTAAATAAATCAAACCAAAGTTTTGTTTTCCTTTAGTTTAAGTTATTCTGGAGAAGTAAGCTTCAGAGTCATATTCTTGACCAATTCAGATAGCCTAAAATGAAATTTTGGTAAAATCCTTGACAATTTGAGTTTCTAAATGTTTCTGATTTATTCAGTTACCTTTTGGGTATTTAGAGACTGTAACAATGGTATTAGAAAAGCTGAGGAATTAGCTTATTAATTAATGTGTAGGACACTTAGCTACCTATTTTAGAAAGTGGTTGCAGTAGGAAGGTGGAAATTATTTTATTCACAGTTGGTTCCTTGAGCTCTTGAAGTTAAATAAAATCAACAGTACTTAGTCTTTCCTTATCTTGGCCAAATTTCATTCTCTGGTGCCGTCCCAGAAGTAGAGTCAAATGAAACAAAAATAAGAAAAGAACTTGAAGTCTTTTATAAAGGCCGGTCTCTTCAGTCAGATGATGTTGTAACCCCATTTCAAGTTTGTATACTTGGTTATTGTGAAGTGTTATCTGGAACAACCTCAAGGTTAGAGAAAGAGCTTGCCTTTGGGAACAAGAGATACCTATTTCCAAAATTACTTTGTAACTGGGGCTGCTAAGATAGGTTGAACCCAAGCTTATCACAGTGAAGACATAGCATGGGAATTCAGTTTTTTGGAAGGAGATAAATTTGCCAGCTTAGTATTTTCTGTCTATATAAAAAGGAGGGGAGAGTAGAAATTAAATTAGTCAGAGTAGAGATCACAAAAGAGTTATTCCAAGGCATCCAAGAGACGTACTATACATTTAGAAATTCTGAGAGAGGCAACTTAAGTAACACAACCTTACAGGAGAAATTCAGTACAAAATTAAAGGGTAGAATAAGGGTGAACCAAACTTGATTGAGTCAAATTCTATGGGTGAGATAGCTGTACTAATTGAGGGATTCAATTTGAGGACAGTGGTGCTAAGACATCAGCAAATTTATTTTATTTTAAAATATAATAATATCTTCCCCCTCTCACCGTTTGTATTTTCCTATTTTCTTGGAGACAAATATGTGTAGGATTTAGGATTTGGTTGTCCTACTTTAATGTGCTTAAGAATCCTTTGGAGAGCTTGCTAAAAGGCAGATTCTAAGATCCCTCTTCCGCCCAGATTCTGAATTAGCATATGAGTGGAAGGGCTCTGGCATCTTTTGAATTATTTTTATAAAGACCTTGGTGATTCTGATCTGCCAATACTTAAAAATAATTCTGCTGGAGAGTCTAGCTCCTCAGAGTGACCTTGAGATCGACTAACTAGAATGTACGTTAGAAGTGAAGACAATTTGGAGTTAGAGAACTGGCTGAGTCTAGGGGTTACTTTAGAATAGTAAAATCAGAATTGTAGACTTTGACAGATAAAAGATTGTACGGAAGTTTGAACCCCAAAAAGAAGAGTGATTTGACTGCAGTTTTGTATTCCTTAATGGGTGGCTGGAGTGGAGTTTGATTCCTTTGGGCTCAGCAGTGCCTGGTGTAAGAATTAAGAGTAGACATAATTATTTCTAAATCCAGACTATTGTTTATAAATTCATGATTTGCAAGTCTTGTAATTTAGTGGAACTAAAGCTAGAATAGCATTTTGAAGTTATTAGCAACTAGCCAACTGATTTTTAGAAAAAAAATGTAACTTTGAGGTAATTAAAAACAAATATTGCTGGGATAAGTACAATGAATAAAAAGAAAAAAGGTAAAGAATTACTGTTTAATCTGCTCTTAATATATGCTACATGTTTTACAAACTTTATATTATCTAAATGACTTAATATCTTTAAAGAGTGTCTGCAAGTCATTGAATTTATGAAGTGTAATTACAAAAAGAGTGCTTGATAAATTTTGAATGTTAACTGATGGCAAAATACCAAATATTCAATATAAAGATTTGCTATCCCTAAAGTGGGGACCATTACAAAAATGGAGACATGAGTTGTAGTGAGGAATTTAGTTATGTGAGTTGTTTGGTTGTCAAGAGATAGGTAAAAGCCTCACTAATCTTTTGGTTTAAGTCAAACCATAATCAACAATGAAGCTGTATTGGTCTCAATGTTGTTTTTTAGTTAAATCTAGACCTTCCCACTTAATCTGTTTGAATTCAGATTTTAAAAAGACAAGTATTAGTTGGGCCTGATGATACATACCTATAATCCCAGCACTCTACTTCTGGAGGCTGAGGCAGGTAGATCTCCAGTTTGAGGCCAGTCTGGGCCATATAATAAGATCCTATCTCAAAAAATTAAAAAATACATAAAAAATAAATAAAGGGACAAGTATTGTTTGTAGATAGAGTCTAAAGTTTTGAGTGATTTCTTTTCATCACGTGGATTAGAGAAAAATGTCAATTCCTACCCAACCTCATAATCACTGTTGAGGGACTTATGTGAACACTGAGTTGACAAGAAGTAGTTGGAAGGGATTGAAGTGTTGTCTGTGTGGGTTACACAGCTTTTCATCTAGAGATTCGGTAAGAGTATGACTTTATACAAGGGGATGGTAGCCTCATCTCTGTTTTGGAGGAAGTGCAGAAATTAAAGCTGATGTCAAAGGAGTTGGCTACGATTCCTTCTTCAGAGGAAGGAGGAAAGTCTGTTTCAACAGACAGCAGATGTGAAATGATACTAGAGTTATTTCCTAAGTACAGACCATAGCAGGTACCTACAAAAGACTAGGGCAGAGGAAAAAGGTTGAACAAAGGGGATCCCCTGTGTGGGTTCACCAAGTATGATTGAAATAATGAGACCCATTCCTTCAGTATGCTGCTTTCAGGACAGTCAGTGTGCAAAAGTGTTATTCACCTTCTAAGTGCAAATCAATGTTCCTCCAGCCATGTACACACTCCTGGGCAATGCAAATGGAGCCACCTGTGCATTTCCATTCAAGTTTGAAAACAAGTGGTATGCAGACTGCACAAGTGCTGGACGGTCAGATGGATGGCTGTGGTGTGGGACCACCACGGACTATGACACTGACAAGCTGTTTGGATTTTGTCCGTTGAAATGTAAGTAATTTTATGATAAAGAAACGTTTGGCAACATCATAATAAAACCTGTGTTTACCAAGAGCATTTTCCAAACATTTCACATTTATTACCTCATTGTATCCCATCATAACCCTTCACAGATGTCATTGTTCCTATTGTAAAATGGAGAAAATGAGCCATTTGGGCTGAAGACTAGAATATAGAGCTTCTGATTCTCAGCCCTGGGATTTTTATGTGTATTTAGAAGTCTTTTCATTTGAAAAGTGGAGTCTTTTCTTTCAAAAAGATAAAGCCCTATTTATTTTTCCAAGATTGAAGCGTGTCTTATCCTGTACTTAGTAGGAATGATATTTTCTAATTCTGTTATTGAGTTTCTTAGAGGTGTGTATTTCATTGACTGACTATAGCATCCTCCACTAAACTGGTATTGATATAGGAGTTGTTGGAAGAATGCATGACTTAGTGAATAAAATACAGAGGCAAGTAGTAAGCCACTAATCATAAGAAAAACTCACAGTCTTGAATATTCTCAGCTATGTGGTGGAGGAGTATCATGAGTGCACTCAACAGAATAATTTTTAGTCTTTTTACTTCTAATTTATTTCCTCAAAGCCAAATTGTATATTTTCCCTGTTAAATATAAAAGCCATATAAGTATAAAAATTGATTTCAATTTGAACTAAAATTTAAAGCACAATTTATACATTTCATGTCCTATAGAGCTTTGTAATTTTATAATCTATTCTGTTTTGAGTCTCCTTCAAAATAGCATTTTATTTTATATTAGCCTTAAATTAGCAGGTTTAATACAGGAAAATGAGTTACCAGTTCTTGACCTGGTGACACCAAATACATGCTCTTCATTGTCCTTTGCATTGTTTACTGCCATGTTTTCCTTCTATTTAGACATTTATTTTCCAGTATCATGAGAACAGGAAAAGGAAAAGACCCCATTCTCTCAATTCTCTGTAGCTTGCAATTTTAGGTTGCAACGTCAGTTTTGTTGGCTTACTGTGGAAATTTGAACTGTTTGGGGGAGTTGTACAGTCAGCAAACCTGTACATTGATTGAGCGATACATTTCAATTCCTTGACTTATAATGCAAAACTCTACCTTTTTAAAGTGAAGAGTCTCTTGCATTTTCTTTTTTGGTCATTTCCTCCATTCCTGGATGAAGAAATAATCTTCCTTTTATTATCTCTCTCATTTTCTGCCACATTGTAAAGCAAACCTCCAATTTTTTAGAAATATTTATTTAAAACATCTTCACCTTCAAATAAACCCCAAATAAATGTCTCATTTGCAAGATCTCACTTACATGGACATTAAATTTATAAGGGCTCAGATTATTATAATTTACTTAAATCTAACATTGCTAATTTAAATGTATTTTTATGTAAATGACTTTATAATTATTTTAGGACTGGGAATGCAGCTCAGTGTAGAGCATCCATTTAGCATACACAAGGCCCTAGGTTTGATCCCCAGTTTCATGCACACACGCACACACACCCAACAAAAAAATCTTAGAAATTTCTATGTTGTTGACTGAATCAAATTCTAATATGTTTTTCTTCCTTTTTGATGTACCATGGAACTGCAAATTATAGGCTGAAGTGTGGCTCAAGTGGTAGGGCAGCTGCCTAGAAAATATAAAGTTCAAACTCCAGTACCACAGGAAAAAAAAAATTCTTAGAAAGAATTGCAAGTTTCATACCACAGGGTATAGTATGTGATGACAAAAAGGTCTGTGGTTGCTTCCTCGGGAAGGTACAAAGCACAGGGAGTTTCAGAGTTAGGAATCATGACAGGGTTTGTCATATGCCTATGGAAAATCACTATTTCTCAGCAAGCCGAGACTTCTCAGGAAATGTGAGAAGGTCCGTAATACTTTCTTTCTTCCTCACAAACAAGTGAAATGATCAGTCTGTTTGTAAATAGAATTTTACATACAAAATTATTTCATTTGTTTGCTAATTTCTTAAATAGCTTATATGCAAAAGACTGCAAATAATACTTATCTATCTATGACATTGGCCTTTCAGAGAAGACACCAAGTTTGTACAGTATATTTGGAAATTGTACACTAGCAAAGAAGATATGTCAAAACAATTTTTTTTTTTACTCTGAGGGAAGAAAAATCCACTATTCCTAAAAGCTTCACCCAGATTGAATATGTTCTATCGATGAGAAAAGAAGTTAACTTGAGGTCAGGCCACTCATTAGGATCGGCACCTCGGGGTCAGATGTAGCTGGTCTGTCTGTGGGAGTCCATGACCTTCCCCTCTAACACCTGCGTTTCTAAAAGGACCAAACTAGAATGTGCAGGCAACATATCCACTTGCAGAGAAAAGAAATATATCTATTTTCTCTCCCCACCTTCAACTTTTCTTGTTGATTTAGAAAGTTGGGCTGGTGTCTCTAATCTTCATCACTTCCCATCTCAACCAATCCCAAATGTCCCAGAAGAAATAGGGGGGTCTGATGACTCCCTTTCTTTCTTTAGGCACATGGGAGAGATTGGATGTGGTTGATCTTTTGAACTGGTAGTTTTCATTTCAGAAGTGAAGAAAATCCAACTGGCTTCAAAGATAAGTAGAAAAGAAAGATACTGTGGCAGGCAATAATGCTAGTGGGACAGTTTAAAAAATATTCACTGGAAATGTTTCCAATGCCTGACACAACAGATTGCTCCTTTTGACTTCTCTTACAGTTGAGGGCAGTGACGGACTATGGAATAAAGATCCACTGACCAACATTCTTTACCAGATAAACTCCAAGTCTGCTTTGACATGGCAGCAAGCCAGGAAGAGCTGCCAGCAGCAGAATGCTGAGCTCTTGAGTGTCACAGAGATCCACGAGCAAACATACCTGACAGGTAATGACACAAAAGGAAAACAGAGTTGTAAGTAAAATCTTGATTAGTTGATGTCTACATAATCTCACTTAAAATGGAGTATACAAGTGATTTTATACATCGTGATAAGTTAGTCCCTGAGCAGGGGGTGTAGATAATGGGACAAATCTGTATTCTGAAAATGACATTGGGGATGGCAAATAGGTCTCATTTCATAAGCTAACATTGTGATATTGATTATAACAGTCCTTAGAACCTGTGCCAAGAAGGATTCTGAGGATTAATCTGGGCTCAGAGTAAAGGATGCCACCATCACTGAGTGATGCTGTTTTTGGACACAAGGCATTGGTACCACAATGGTCAAGTATTCACTATCCAGGTCTAACCTGAAACCAAAGGTCTTCATTAGCATCATAGAGTTCAAAATGGTAAAATGAAATACTGCTACCATTGGTAGAGATAAGTCAAGAACTGCTGTGCAACTCTGTCCTCTTCTCTATCCAACTCCTGTAGTCTATAGTTTTCTAGCTTTTACTGATATTCTTTTCAAAGTGATCTTTAGGTTTTTAAAATATCTGTTACAGGATTGTGAAGAGTATAAAAGCTAATGCTTGCTTGAGAAGAGTGTCTGTTTTAGCTTCTAAAATCCACACTCGGGGAAGCAGGAAGATGAGGGCTAAAAACAGTGTGGAAGCAAAGGCATTCCCAATTTCCTGCGGCCAGGGCCCCTCAGTCCTGTTCACCCTGATATTGGTACTAAATTAATATATATTCAATGATCCTGTGACTGCCATGTTTAAAATAGCCTTAGTGGCTCCCAATTTCCAATCAAATAGTTCATTAAACACCTTGCCAGATTGAAAGGTTGTCATCTGTCCCCCTTCATGCATGTTGCCATCTTGACAGACAGTCCCCCTGTGGGACATTTATGTCTCATATTTCTCACCTCCACATCATTGTCCCATATCATTTTTAAAATCTGGGATTCCCCAAATTTTATACAATGAGCATGCAATCCTCTCCATTTCTCTTCTTTGCTTATTATTGCTTTTATAAGTTACTCATGTACATGCCCCACTGCCTCTACAAGATTATAAACACATTAAATTGTTGGTTGTATTTTCATGCATTCATTTATCCATTTAATAATCTATCTGGTAACTGTGCCAGGCATTGTGTGTGTATATGTATATATACATATATACACACATCTTTATATCTATATTTACGTATCTATGCCGCCAAGGAGATTCACACAGAACCTTCCAAGGAAGAAAGTGTCAGTGACCATTTGCTATCTGACAAATGGTGATACAACAAAATAAAAATAATTATTTAGAAATTTAGCCTAATGTTTGAACAAGTGAGCAATTAGTTTGTGGCAAGAAGATAGTTAATTATAGTGGTTCTTAAAAGTGAACTTTCTTATTCATCATCTGGAAACTTGGTTAGACTGAAAATGCCTGCACCAGACCCCTAAAGGTTCTAGATCAGTCTCTGGCCCAGAATCTGCATTTTGTCTCCCTCCTAGCTGATTCTGATAGGAGGAGACAGCAGCTCTGCCCAACCAGTCTTGTGTTTTGGTCCCTGACCCTGCTCCTAGATTGGGGTTGGGGTGGGGGAGGTGGTCTTGGTGTGCGGGTGGGGAGGGATGGTGTGTGTATTGCAGGACAAGCTTTCCAAATTAGCAGGTGCCATTAATGTGTCCATGGGGTGGGTGGATGGGGTAGAGCTCCAGGAGATTTAGGGCTGAGTTCACCTCAGATGCTTCTTTGAGTCTTGGCCAAGCCTCCGGAATTTTAGTCAGCAAATTTTCAAAGAATCTGGGTAAGAGTGACTTTTCTAACGAGATTTGGAGTATTTCCTGCCTTTCTGTAAGTCAAAAACACCATGCAACAAGTAAAAAATGTCTGACAGGAAATGTAAAAAATGAAATAGAAGGAAGACAGTCCTTTTTTCTGGGAGAAAGATATTCATGACATTGGGTATCAATTGGGATATATTGAGGAAGAATCTAGAAAATAATGGTGTGAAGTAAGTGTGTGATCTGCTCTATTTTGGGAAATACTTTTCAAATGAAAAACAACTCACAAATTGTTATACTTTTAAAATACGTTTTATTTATGTGAGCATTTTGAGAAGTAAATAGGCTTTTGAAATGTAGAAAGCATATTTACACAAGAAGACTCTGAGGTCAAGTTCACTGTCATTTCTTGACTAGCTGCTATGTGCCAGACGTGACTTTATTTCTAAAGCAACATCATGGATAGATATTACTTTACCCACTTTATAGAGGAGGAAACTATGATCAGAGGGAGAATTTAGCAAACTTGTTTAATGCCTCAAGTTCACAGAAGCACTGAGCTGAAATCTAGTCACTTTCCTGCTTCTGTCCCACTCATAAAATGAGCAGGAATCTGGCAGTCCCTGAAGGTCACACAGCAACATCTTGCTCCAGGAAATGTCTTCCAAACCGGCCATCTGATTCCAAAGTACCCGCAGAACAAAGTGTTTCTGTCAGACACCAATTTGTATATCACCCACCATCATTTTGTCATCTTGACTTCTGTTTCTACCCTGATAAGTGTTGGGACATTGTTCAATCCTCAATTCCCAAATCCGATTTATAACTATTTATAAATAGTTATAATCTGATTTATTACTGTTACATAACAATAAAAGTAATATGAAGACTCTGAGATTAAATTCTCTGTCATTTCTAATCCACGTATGTGCTGGACTAGCATTTATAGAACTGAAATAAGATAGAAGTGAAATTTGGCTTGTTACTCTGATTGTTTTTGTGCCAGTTTCCTTTGGTACTACCTGGAAAACAAATTGGACCTCTATGAAGAAATGAAATAAAAATGTGAGTGTAATACTGGATGTTAATACGGTTTCTTCATAACCAAGTTCAAAAGTAGGCATATAACCAATTCAGATAGCATATGCAGAAAAAAAATTAAAAATTAAGAAAATGTATCATGTGGAATAATTAATGCTATGTGTGGCCTTACTAAAAATTTTTTTGTCTGCTCCTCTATAAAATTAAAAGTGCACACTAGAGAAAAGAAGCTTGGGGATGAAAAAAAAATGTGTAGGTGATGTTCACCTACTTCAAGTGATCCTTTTTAAAATAAATGGTGCTGGATATTAAACCCAGGGCTTCACACACACTAGGCAGGTGCTCTACCACTGAGCTACAATCCAGCCCTTTAAGTGATACATTCAAACAAGTTTGAATTTTGTTTCTAAGTCATACCTTTTGCTAATCTATATAGTTATTAATGATAAAAATAATAGCAGAATATTTATTGGTCACATACGATATGTCAAGTTCATTTTTTAAAGTATTGATTTAATTCCTTGTCTTTTTGCTTATTTGTTTTTATTTGTTTGAGATAGAAACTCTCTCACTATGCAGCCCAAGCAAGCCTGGAGTAGTCTAGGCATCCTCCTGCCACCACCTTGTGAGTGCTGAAATTACAGGCATGCTTCACCATGCCCAGCACAAACATAATTTAACTAAGCAGTCTGACACGAAATATACTTTCTTTTTAAATTAGTGAATTGTTTGTAGTTTTCAAAAATTAATTATGTTAATTTTCTTAACCAATAAGGTTTTTTTAAATCTCAGAGTAGTCAGTTTCAGTAATAGTATATCTAGCATTTTGCAATGCTACTTTTCATCTATGGCCATACACCATGAATGCCTGATATCACCTGGTCTGAAATGCTTCTTTTATTATTTTTTATTTTTTTTTTTTTTACTGCTATAACATTTATTTATTTATTTATTTTTCATTTTTCTTTTATTATTCATATGTGCATACAAGGATTGGTTCATTTCTCCCCACTGCCCCCACCCCCTCCCTTACCACCCACTCCGCCCCCTCCCTCTCCCCCCCAATACCCAGCAGAAACTATTTTGCCCTTATGAAATGCTTCTTTTAAATGCATTTCCTCTCATATACCCTCTGCAAGTATTACTCAAATTAGTACAACCTCATAGAATTTGTGAAAAAGATCACCCAACATTCAATAGTAATTAATGGAATAATAATTAGCATAAAGATAATGTATGATACTGATCCCAGAATACTTCTGAGGTCCAGTCTGGATCCAGGTGTTCTCTATTGATCACCTGTTTGTATGAATGAGGAGGGGCAACACTTTTTAGTTGACTTTTTTCAGCCTAAAGAGTTATAAATAATAAGGGTACTCAAGATAATTTCAATAAATATATGCTAAGTAATTAATTAAGTAAAAGGAAATAATTGGTGGTATAAGTAACTATCAAATTGATTTAATATTGGTAAATTCACTATTTTTTAGTGAATGCAGTCACATTTAATGATGTTCTTCCTACAAATTCAAGACTAACCAAAACTTTCCCCTCTTGATAATTCAGTTCCTTAGTAAGTCTTTATAATAAATATTTCTATATTTTGAAGTAAAATTCTAATTTTGAAGAACCAAATGCAGAATATGCACTGAAAACAGGAATGAGTGCTGGTAGAGGGCTAGTTGGGAGCAAAACCATGCAGCAGAAATACCTGCTTAGCTCATTCTTCTTTGCTTAGAGATACCTTACCATTTAAAATTATCTAGAAAAGGGGACCAGGCATGGTGGCACATGCCTGTAATCCCAGATGCTCAGGAAGCAATCCTCCTGGATTGCAGTCTGAGGCCAGCCCAGGAAAAAGCACAAGACCCTATGTGTAAAAACAAAAAAACCAAAAACAGCACTAAAAGAAGAAAGACTGGGACTGGGGTATGTCTCAAGTGTTAGAGCACTTGCCTATAGAGTATGAGGCCCTGAATTCAACTCAAGTACTCACACACACATACTCATAAAAAATCTAGAAAAGGTAATTTAAAAAAGGGATTAAATCCATTGGAAAAATTAAAATGAACGTTGGTTCCAATCCTGATACAATAAAACTGATTTACTCTTACCAAGGTGTTCAACCTCTCTGTCCTCAGTTCTCTTCGTAAAATGAAGGAATTGCCCTAGTCACTTCTCAAAGGATATAGCGTGCCTATGAAAGAGGCTGTGCCAGCTCTTTAATGTTATTTTCTAGAGTGCTTGATAAAATGAATGAGTTTGCATTACTGTTCATGGCTTTTTGCACGTCAGTTTGTAATTTCAACCTGTTTTTCTTCTATTCTTTTAAAGAAAACACACAGCAGGGTATCCTTTTCAGCACCCACAATCAATGTTGAGTTCAGTTCAGTTTATTATAATCAATGTCAACCTAGCAAATATCCTCAAGTGGTACTCTGTTTGACAGTACCTCTGCCAGATGCAAGCAGCTGAGGGTGACACACACTGAGCACAGGGTCTCTTAGGAAACCCACTTGCACTCTTACAGAATGGAGTTGCAATAAATGTGAGATCTGATCTTGGCATTGAGTCATGCTCCCCTCCCATTCAACTGCAATATCCAACAGGAATATGTATGTATATAGCTAAAAATTTTTTAGTGGGTTTGAAATACATCATAGTAGCTTTGGTTATATCAAAACTATGGAATCTGATGCTTTTGTGTTCAAATTTTAGCTATTATGTCATTTAATCTCTCAGTTTTTTCATCTATAAAATGGACATAATTTTACCTCATGGTTTATGAGGATTAAATGATCAAATGCAGTGCTCCAAATATCGCAGTGGCCTAACTGGTAACTCTTACCATTAAAAGATTTGGCTGGGGATATATCCTATATGTAGCAGGAAGTATAAAATGGCCTAATCTATGTTACCAACATGTACACACAGTTGAGTCTGGCATTGTTTTTTAAAGCAAAGATAGTTTTATTTTTTGATTAATTATTTTTCATCAATTAAATTTACTAGGTGCAAAGAATTCTTACCATGATTTTTTAAAAGATAAGGAAATAGTAGATTAGTTTTTCACACTAGAAGGTCTGTGTCGTTTTTTTAAAAAACTTCCATATCAGGTCTTTACAGAGTTTAAACCATTGTAATTATGACTTATTATCCACCTAAATAAAATGTTCATGTCAGCATAAGCATTTAGTGTTTTGAGTTTGTCACAAAAAAGAAAAATTGACTTTAAAAATATAAAATTCTTAAAATAAGTTCTGAAATGATCTAATGACTTATGAGCATGGTAGGTTAATATGTTTATTAAAATTTTTCTGTTCTAGAGAAAGTTGGATTTTATATAAAATCAGTCTTATTTTCACTCTCAAATGAAGTAAAAAATGTCATTATTTGGTGATAGTCATACAGTCATGCCCAAATAACAAGCACATCCCACTGTGCTTGAGAAAGGACATGACATTCAAGGGGATGGGGTTGGACTGAGCTCTGGATCGAAGCCTTAACAAGACTCTTACTAACTGGCCTGTGTGCTCAGCCTCACTTCTGTACCTGTGGATGAAGGTAGCGGTTGTCTTGCTTTAGCTCATTGGGAGACTCAGAGGAGAAATGTCAGGCATGATGAGTCCACTTCCCTCAATTACATTTTGCTTCAAGCATTTAATTCCAAACTTAATTCCACTCTTTTCTAAACGCTAGTTTTGTGTTCTTGCTTCCTATCACATAGGATTGACCACTTCCCTGACTTCAGGACTCTGGATTGGCCTTAATAGTCTGAGTTTCAACACTGGTTGGCAGTGGAGTGGGGGCAGTCCATTCCGATACTTGAATTGGTTACCAGGTAAGGCTAAGTCTGTCTCACCTTGCTTTGAAATCTACCAGTTAGATTTGAATGTTCTAAAACTGTAGGGTTATATAGGACCAGCTGCTAGGATTATCACAAATCAGCACATGTCTCTGTTTAAAGTATGAATTATCAGAGTAGCCTTGATTTTTTTAAGATACTACATTAGAAAGCAAACTTTATAGCTTTTTGTTAGCATGATTTATGAGATATAGCAACAGAATTACTACCCTATATTTGATGTTGCATCAGTATTGCCACCATTCCTGAAAGTATTGTCCAATACATCTTTGCAAAGTCTGATAAGGTGCTTTCCACTTTTTGTACAGCTAACTTTTGAATCTTTTGTCCTAACTTTGAAATTTTTAACATGCCAGTTGAAAGTAATTTTATATAAAATATACTTATGATATGTGATATGTAGTATTACAAAGATTTAATGTGTATACATTTATACTTGCATATACATATAATGAATTTACACAAACTGAAACTTTTCTGGGTTGGTGAATTTCTAATTATCTTGAGTCCTGAGATAGTTACAATATTGCTGTTGCTGTTATGAAGATCTTAAGGTCTATGTTAAACCATTTTCTCCTGTTTTAGTCTACTAGAGTTGAATTAAAAATACTATCTCATATTCTATATTCATTAGCTAGAATGTGGTTGAAGGTTCATCTGCTTTACAAGTAACATAGTGCATAGTGGATAGCTGATCAGTCTTGATTCTCTTCAAATTCATATATTTTCAAAATTTTAGTTGAAAGTCTTTTGGTATAAAAAAAAATACTATCTCACTCAGAGATGATATTATTCCATACAGAACAAGGTGTAGTTTGATTGTAGAAAAATATAGTCAGAATGACTAAACCTTCAACAGTTTTCTAATTTTCTGGAGGACAGAAAATGTAGCAAATTATTTTAATGTAGTCATTACATACAAGTAAGAGAATATAAAAGGAGACTAATTACTTAATATAAATTGCACATGTACAGCAACTCTTAAGAAGAAACAACAACAACAAAAACCAACTCTTCAGAAGAAACAACAATTAAAAACCCAATGCTAAAGAGTTTGCACCCTATCCACCAGCACCAACCATTGTTAGTTGCTACTTGAGGCTCTCTACTGAGTCTGATTCAGCCCCTCCAACCCCATCTCAGTACTACCAAGTGTGCTAATTAAGAAAGAGCACAATTAGTGATTAGTAATGTCTGCCATGGGTGTAGGAAAGGAAAGGAATAGCATATTGATCAGATCTATATTTATCAGTTCTGCTACAGGTACTACTGAATAGTGTTCATTGAAATGCTCAGACTTCTTTTCTTGTTTATTGTTTTGGTTTTTGTTTTCAAGACAGGCTCTTGCTTTATAGCCCAGGCTGGAACCCTCGATCCTTCTGCCTCAGCCTCATGTGCTGGGATTATAGGCATGTACTATACCCAGCTTCACATTTCTTTTGAAAAGTCATTGAATATTTTTGCATTTGGTATAAAAAGTAAAACCTTCTATTTTCCACATTGCCTTGCTTCTTTTTCTATTGTTTGCTTGGTTTGGTTCTCTGAGATAGGACTGGCCTCAAGCTCATGCTCCTTCTGCCTCAGTCTCCCAAATCCTGGGATTACAGGGGTGCATCACCATGCCTGCCCTGACTTTATTTTTTAAAAAGAAAAACTTCAATAAAATAGTATTTCAAATAAATTCCAAAACAGGAGAGGGGATTGTTAGAGGTTATATTTTGGTTTAAACTGATTAGACTTTAGGGACCAGGAGAAAAGCTCAGTGGTAGAACATTTATCCGACATGCATATGACCCTGGGTTCAACCTTCAGCACTACAAAAAAAAGATTTCTGTGGGATTTCAGTTTCAATACATTTCTTCAGTGCATGATGGTTATAGGGCTATTGATTGAATATTTTCTTTTTTATGCTTGGATCAAATCCTGAGCCCCATGGTGCTAAGCACACACTCTACCACTGAACAGCACCCTTAGCACTGTTACTTGAATCTTGAAATGATATCAGCTTATTGTCTCCTAGACTATGGGAAGTAAATAATACTGAAAAGGATATAAAATTTTCTTTTTTATGAGTAAAGATCTAATTTTTCTGCTTACTCATTCAGTCAAATTAAGTTAGAGAATACCAGTTGGTCTCAAAAAATTATTAGACAATACTAATCATTTATTAGAGGATTAGAGTTTGTTCCACTCTTTAGTAGCTAAATTATTGTACATCATCAAGCAGGTCATTGTCTTTATTACTCAGTTTAGGGGTGAGGATTTTAATCCAACCATTTGCAGTCTGGGGATTTGGGGCTAATGTTGGTGAAGGTGGGGTTATGAAAGTAGAAGATTAATGGGAAAAGAAAATGTTTTCCTTATTAAACCAAATTCTTGGGAAGTGGAAGCAAGATTAAATCACCTTTTGAAATAGTCTGAGAGTTTCTTGAATCTACAATTAGAAACCTTTATGAATACCATAAATTATTTTTGTATAGATTGCTCAGTCAAGCATTTCAATTTGAGCACTTACCAAATAATGCATATATTAGAATACATTTGCATTTTAAGTGAGGATATTTTACATAAATGATAAACTAGTGTGAATTCAAGAATATAATGACTATTAAAGCATTAAAGACCACTAATTGATATTTTAATTTGGTAGTGGTGTCATAGTGCCAAATGTATAACATGATTTGCTAATGAATACATTAATTAGTAACCAATAGCTACAATATGTATTATTGTTTCTTAAAAATTTCTAGCACTGATATGTTGTATGTGTTAGTTTAGTTATACTGTTAGCTTGGTTACAATATCAAAACTTTTTTTTTTTTTTTTTTGCAATACTGTGTTTGAACTCAAGGCCTTATGCTTGCAAGACAGGCACTCAGGCACTTTACCACTTGAGTCATGCCCCTAGCTCTCAAAACATTTAAAAAATATCTTTATGCTTAATGCTAACATTTTTTTGTGTAGCATTTAAATAACCTTCAGATTTTCTGATAAAGACTTTGTGGAGCAGGTAACATGATTTTCATCTTGCAGAAAGAATGACGTTCAAGTATGTTAGATATTTGTCAAAAGTTACAAAGCAGGACTGAAGGTGTGGCTCAAATGGTAGAGTGCCTGCTTTGCAAGTGTGAAGCCCTGAGTTCAAACCCCAGTCCCACCAAAAAGAAAAAAAAAAAACCCAAAGTCACAAAGCAAAGCTATTAACAGAATGCAGTTCATTTACTTTAACTTCAGTTGTAAGAGCACTGGTTTTAAAATCATGTATCAGAGCAAAAAGCATTAGTAATATAGCTACCAATGCATGTACTCATTGCATGAGCAACGTTGACTCTATTGGGTCTTTACTTAGTTTCCAGTAAGAGACAGACCAGGGATTGACTTCTTAAAGTATTCTTCAAAGGGCCAAGTTGCAGCTATTGAGAATCTTAGTTCCAAAAGCCTGACATGTTGTGTTTCCAGGTTTCCCATCCAGTGCCTTGCACCCTTCCATTCTCTGTCTTTCCTGTCTCCTCTTTCCAGTTGGGAAAGATTTCACTATGTTTGGAGATTTGCTACCCTGATCCTTATAGTCAGCTTGACTTTGTTTTTTCAGTAGTTATTGACATTCTTTTTATTAGGTACCTCTTTGTGATACATGATACAATCCTGTTTAAAATTTAAGGGCTAGCATTATTAATTGGTGATGGCAGGGTAAGTTATTTCAAAGAAGTGTCCTTGTATAATCATCATTTTCAGCATTGGAATGTTCCAACACAAAGGAAGCAAATAGATACCCATCATGTCTTTTGCTCTGCAGTCAGTAAATATTTATTTGTGAATGTGTAGCAAAAGACAGAATGGGGATCCATTAAATCTCAAAGATGGAGTGGAGACATGAGGTGGGGGGACTATCTACTTGGGATACCTATTATCATCCCCTCTTAAATTTTTTTTTTCTCAAAGGAAGTCCATCACCTGAACCTGGAAAAAGCTGTGTGTCACTAAATCCTGAAAAAAACGCTAAATGGGAAAATGTGGAGTGTGTTCAGAAACTAGGCTATATTTGTAAGAAGGGCAACAATACTTTAAATTCTTTCATTATTCCTTCAGGTAAGTGATGGTTAACTTAATATATATAAAATATTAGAAGTTAAAGATAAATAAAATTACAGCATAATTATAATTGTATGACTCCCGAGGTTTTACTGACAGTTAATGGGGAACTGTAATGATATTCCTAAAACATTGTTTTGCTGGGTATGACTCCTTCCGGTTTCTAGTGTTTCATGAATGTGCTCCAGTGTTTCAGCATTGTGAAAGCCTTTGGCATAAATAAGAATTTTATCTCCCCAGCTCTGTAAGGTAGGTGTTATTTTTCAATGTTTGAGAAGAAAAATATTCATATGATACATACTACTTGCACCTGTGGCAAAATTGGAATCCAAGCTAAGAAATACATATATGGAAGGGATGTTTTTATTATTATGGATCAGTCTGGGCTCCATTATTATTCAATGTAGCATCTTACACTGGCCTTCACAGAATGGAATAAACATTCAAAAAGTATTATATATAAATATATATAATTATTTTATTATTTATTATTATTTTATTATATATAATTTTAGGCTCCAGGAGAAATAGTCAATCATGCTTTCCACTATAAATTTATAGAATTAAACCATTAAGGCAAGAATGAATTCTTTCTTCAAAATGATGAAAAGAAAACTTCATTATTCATTATCAGCTGTTTTTGGGGGACAGCTAGTGCTTCACATGTTTTATTTATTTATTTTTTTCTGCTTGAGAAACCTGACCATGCTCTATTCTTTAATTTTTTTTCCTTGACTTTTAGAAGTAAGTGCATTTATTTTGATATATGATTGACATGATGGAAATTCAAAAGGACCAAATTATAAATAATATTTTTCTCCCACCTCTTACCTCTACCACCCAGTTCTTCCTGGAGAAGTGCTTTTTCTTAGTGTGTGTGTGTGTGTGTGTATGTGTGTGTGTGTATCCTTATCAAATAAAAATTCAATTTTCTATGACTATATAAGCAAATGCATTTATAATTAATCTGGTTTATACAAATGAAGCATACTACCTCTAAACTCTTCACCCTAAGTTTTTCACTTAACAGCAGTTTTGCTCATCATTCCATTTAGTACACAAACAGCTTTTACATTTGTTTTCTGGCTGAATAATATACATTGCACAAAGAGACTGTAGTTTTAGGTTTTTTTGTTGCCAGTCTCCAATTAGTGGATTTTTTATTTACTTCCAATCTTTGATTATTACAAACAATCCTGAAGTAAATAACTTTACACACATGTCATCTCATGCATGAGATTCTTAGAAGTGGGAGTTGCTGGATCAAAGTGTAGGTGTGCTTGTAATTTCAATAGATGTGGATGTGGCAAGATCTCTAGTGGATAAGAGTAAGGGTCCATGGGCATGACTACTTAATAGACTCCAGAACGATGATGCATATGTCTCAGGGAGACTTCAGTCATTTTTGCATTTCATCTCTTCTATTTTTCCTGTAAGAGAAATGGATAATTCTTTCATGGAATCCCTCATACAGTTCTCTTTCAAAGACTTGCAATTGCCATTTTGGGAAAGAGAAGAAAGGCTATTTTCTATTGTCTCTGATATAGGGGGTCAAATTCTTGGCCTTTCTTATTATCCATCATTTTTAAATTAGCAAAAGAGTTTCATTGTGATATTTCCATGCATGCATAGAATGTAAGTTGATCAGATTTATCCCTCTATTACTCTTTCTTATCCCTAGCCCCCTTTTAAACAAGTTTCATTATTCTATTTTCATACACACAAATGAAAGACTTCAAACTCACCAGTTTTAAGGTCCTCACTGGAAACACATGAAAGTCAGTAACTTCTTTCTGTGAGATCTTATTCATTTTGCCATGTACTCAGCAAATTTCCATCCCTCTTCCATTCCTCGCTTCATTTGCTGACAGTAGTTTTTGCACTTCTGTGTACTGTCTGGATTGATTATTCTATCAGCTCTAATAACCCAGAAGTCAAATTTTACAGCATTTATGATTGGTGACCCCTCTGAGCAAGAATTCAACCTCATATCCTGTTAGTCTTTGCAGCAACGCCCTGATTGTCCACACTCCTGTTCTGTAGGTCTCTGTACTATGCAGCTTACGGGTCACTACCCCCCATGTAGCTTTTGTACAAATGAAATGTGTTTGAACTGAGCTATATTGCAAGTGTAATACACACATTGGGTTTTCTAAGACTTAGCATGAAAAAAATGTAAAATACACTATTTTAATGGATTACATATTGAAAATGCAATAGGATATGTTGAGTTAGATACTAGCAAATCTAAAATGATGTGTGTGGCTCACTTCTGTTTCTTCCATTATAGAGACCATGCTTCTTCTCTTGAGGAACAAGTGGCCGTTGTGGTTACCCAGGGAACTCCCCTTCATTTTACTTGAATTGGCCATTTTCATGTTTTAAAATGTTTTTAAAGGTCATCTGCTCAGTTTTTGAAGCTCTTAGCATTGTCTGACATTATTTTCAGTTACCTAGACAGCAAAATTAGAACATACCACCAGAGGGCTCCAGAGCTATGCTAACAATTTATTCTTTTTTTCTGGTAACCACTGAAATTGTGCAGAATCTAAATTGTATTGAGGGAATAGAATTTATTATTTTTATTTGCATTTAATAGTATAAGGATTTTTATTGAGATAATGTCACAGATATATACAGTATACTTTCAACAAGTTCATCCCTTCTATTGTACTCACTTAACTTCCCCTTCCTGGGGGAATAGAATTTTTTAAACATTCATTTTTTTCTATTACAATGAGAAGAGCATTAGGGCATAGTGACTGATTGCTTTCTTAAAAGATGACTGTGCACAAAATTCTGTGCTTGAGCAAAGACACTTCAGACAGTCTGATTTTAAGGCAAAATGGGATTGATTCATTAAAAGAATGACAAAGAAAAGTACCCTACATTGAACATTTACCAAAGTGGTACATTTCAAAACATTTAATATCAAGCTTATACATAAATTGATCTTCATTGAGTAATACAGTCCCTCTCTATGCAAGGTATGTTGGTAGGTTGCTGTTTAAAATAGAACAGGTATCTATAAAAAGTAAAATTAAGCTGCCATGTTTCAAATTTGACTTCAGTTTTGGTTTTTTTTTTCTTGACCGATACTCATTGCACCTACCATGTGCCTGGCCCTATGCCATGTTCAAGGGTATACAGGGATAAATAGAGTAAGTCTCTGCCTTCAAGCATTCAAGCATCTTTACCGTCCCTTACCACAGGTTGTTGCTGTTAGAATGAATTTTTGCAATATATACTCAAGATTAGGAAATTTGACCATAGTATTCATAGCAATAATGGTGATGTTGACTCTTGATTTACTCAAATCATAATTTTGTGGTATTTGTCATTTGCAGGCAAGTTTTCTCTATTCTTTTGTAGTTTAAAACACAGTGAAGATGGGTAACTTAATACCATTAGCATTACTGTTAATATTATTGAATTTGTTTTACATGTATGTCTGCTTCAGATTACATAATATGATTTGCTTAAGCAAACCACACAACTTGTGGCAAATTCAGGTTTGCCTAAAGGACGTTGGTACCTAAATTGCTCTCCTAGTCACAATAACACATGTCATCTTTTGGGAACAAATAAATGGTAGAGGATCAGTTCAGAGGCACAGATGACTGGCTCGTGCTACTGTGGTTACAGAGGCTTTTGGTGGCACTCGTGTCCCTGCACATTCTCCTCCTTGCTTCAGTGCTAAACTTTTTCATCCACACATTATGAGTATTGCCTTTCCTCTGGCAATTCAATAGTTCCATGTTCAGGGAAAACAAAGGTATGTTGAAATATCTTAGAGGATATATTATATATCAAAACTTTCAGGATTCTAGTATTGAAACAGTTCGTAATAGGTTTAACACATGATAGCAAAGGTTTGTTGATGATAAGATGTAGATAAAATAAATAATGTTGTATCTTAGTGTACTATTGTTGAAGTTACAGTTTTTTAAAAGAGAAATTTGACTTCATTTTAAAGTAAAAGATGGGATTTTTAACTTTTTTAGTCCAAACACAAGCAAAATAGAGTGTCTAATGTATCTTTTGTGACTATGTTGCCCCCCCAAAAAAATTGCCTTTATTTACCTACAACTATGAGTTTTTAAACATCTAGAATGATGGGAAATATTATTTCAAATTTTAAACAAATATACTCTTAACTTTTTCAAGTCTTTCTTTTTTCCTAGAAAGCGATGTGCCTTCTAGCTGTCCCACCCAGTGGTGGCCATATGCAGGTCACTGCTACAAGATTCACAGAGAAGAGAAGAAGATCCAGAGAGAAGCCTTAAAAGCCTGTAGGAAGGAAGGGGGTGACCTTGCAAGTATCCACACCATAGAGGAATTTGACTTTATTCTCTCCCAGCTAGGATATGGTAAGGAACTTTACACTGATAAGCTTGACTCTGATCCCTTTTCCTCTCTACCTGTCTCTGGAAAATGTAATAAGTGTTAAGTTTAATAAATTAAGACTGATAATTAAATGAACAATATTAATTTAATAATAAATGCTAATCATGCCTACAAGGTGAAAGTTAAATAGAACTTAAATAATATTTATCACTAAAAGATAATTAATTTTTCCTTTCAATCTAGTCAGTTTATGGGTAGTTTACCAGCATTATTTTTGCATGTATCATCTGGATTTAGAGATGTCTGTGTTGAACTTGTAAACATTTCATTTTTGGAAATACTCATGTGTTTGAGTATTTTCTTTTTAAAATCTCATACCTCACAAGAAATAAATCTAAAAGAACTATCTCACATTTTGAATTTTCTTTTTTTATTAATACAGATAATACTGCTGGGCTTCCATCAGTGGAAGAAATGGGATATTATTTTTGGAGTGGTTAGGTATTGTAATAAATCTAGTAAAGAAATTTATGTCTCAATTTTAGGTGTATAATTAAAAAATATAGGAAATGTACTAACCAGAAGCAAAATAAAGGTAGGTGAAATGACTTGGGAAGCCTGCCTGAGAAACAACATAATGATAAGGGACTCAGTGCAGTCAGTTCTTGTTGATTAAATGATTGTCTTCATCTCCCACCAACGAGGACGCTGGAAAGCTGCAGCTGTTCATTTCCACTCTGTAAAGCAAGAAGCAATGATGGTAGTGATGGAGGATCCTGCTTCTTGACACATATTGCATGAAAATTGACAGGGATGCAGGGGAAGAAAAAAGCAACTAACAAACACTAGAAAAAGAAGAGAATAGTAGAAAAAGATGCAAAAGGTCCCCAAACACTACTACGCTTAGCACCTGTGTCCAAAGGACAACATGGTCTGTGTACCTCACTGAGTGTAGCATTGAGAAAAAGAGCCTGCTACAACTGTAAACAATTTCTTAATTATTCTGTGTTTAGCAAACCTGGGAATTTCAGACTAAATGATAATAATGTATATATCTGAATGAATATATCTGAATAATAGTTACTTAAGTTTATTATGACATAATAGCTAGTAAGTTTGCAAATGAATTAGTGGGAGACAGCTTAGTTAAGATGCTAAAGGAATGAAATGCAAATCTCACTCTACTTTCTATAGCATACTACAGTAATAGGAGAATCATATATTTTTATTGTTATAATCACTTGAGGAAGCTGGATGACAAAGGTTGCTTTTAAAGTTAGCTTGAGAATTAGTAAAAGAACTATGAAACCTTCCATTTGTAAAGGAAGACATTAAAAACAGAATATTTGCAATATTATAATATTGCAATACAGTATTTACTTGTTTAATACAATAAAATGATATTGGTAAAAGCAAAGAAAGATTAAAAATTAAGATTACTGTGGAAGATTAAAAATTAAGATTTCTGCTTCTAAATCAAAAGCCTTCAAAATCTTTTTTTGCTAGTTGAGATGCTAGCTTTTATTTTAATCTTAGAAACATATTACAAGTAGATTAAATTGAGATCTGCTCCTGTAAGGTATGGCTCTAACAACTAACACACTTCCTTAATTGATTCATAAAAATCAGCTCAACAACTTTACAGTCATATGCTTTTGTATGATAAAGATTGTGCTTAGAAATTGCAAAAGTCATAAGAGGATAACAGATTAGTGAGAAAAATATGTATAGGAAACTCTTAATACTTTACTATAATTGTGGGACTTGGGAATTTAATTTTTCGTCTGTCTTTAACCAAAATCTTTGAGGGTACATGAGGTTTCTTTGAAGCCTCTATTTGCTGCTCAGAGATCATGATCTGCCAACTCAAGTGAAAGGAAAGGGAGTCATCCTGGCAATGTCACTCACTATTTGTGCCACTGGAAACATCTGCTGGACCTGGCATGGGGCCAGGTGAGGACTTCTCCAAAGCAAAGTTGAGTGACAACTTTTAGGAGGAAGAAACGCAGTCAGTAAAGTTCTTATAGAGTATGATATTGTTCTCATTTGCTACCAAATATCATCTTTACAATTCTTGGAAGGAATTTCAACTTACCATTAAAAGATCATACATCAAGTATTCATGATCGAATTCCCAGTGATGCAAACTAAATAGATATTGAATTATATATTCTTTAGTCATTCTAATTCGGAAATGCTTATTTTTACAACCTTGAAATCTTAGAACTTCAATCACTGCAAATTCATCCCATTTTTATTATGATTTTTTAGAATGGTAACTTCTTATAAAAGCAATGATTTTCTTCATAAAATTTCTAAACAAAATGATCAGATTTTCAATATTGGTTATTTTGATTTTAACCTTAGTCTATATTTGAGTTTTGCTGGTATTTCATAACATTTTGTGGTGAAAATGATTACAGATTCATTTATATTAGTAATATAAATAGACTTAATAAATGCCGTCAGAAGTCAGCCTGTCTTCAGTTTATATTTCTCTCGCTGTTTGGATCATTCTCACCCCTAAAACAGTGATTGAACCTTATCAGAAGCACCTAGACTATTCTGACAACAGCAGTCACTAAAATAGAAGTGGTTTTAAATTTGTTATTTTAAAACATTCATTAATAGTAGTCAAATAGGTTTATACACATAAGATACTACATTTCTAACAATATAAGTACACTGATATAGTAAATTATTTGTAACAAAAAAGCAGCTTCACAAGATAGAGTATAATAATAGACCTACCTCAATTTCATTATCACAAGTTCCTGGAGATAAAATTGTAATAGTGCAACTAAAACATACAGTCACATTTACAATGCAAAGAAAACACCACACACCTAAAACTAACGTCATAAAATGTAGTGACAGCTGAGTCCATAGCATGTAGGTCATATTAACACCCAAGAGGGTTATCTTTTATGACAGTTATGGTATTAAGGGAGCAGAGCTGTGTTGACAAAGCAGAATGCCTTCCTTTCTCAACACCCTACTGACCTTTGGAAAGCAACCTTTGCAAATGCTACTTTTTGGGTTTTTCTTCCTATTTAGAGCCAAATGATGAGTTGTGGATTGGCTTGAACGACATCAGAATGCAAATGTATTTTGAATGGAGTGATGGGACCCCTGTAACATTTACCAAATGGCTTCGTGGAGAGCCAAGCCATGAGAACAACAGGCAGGAAGACTGTGTTGTGATGAAAGGCAAGGTAAGGCAGCTCTACCGACATCTAGTAAAGTCACAGGGGACTTTTCTTCTGTCCTGCTCACTGAATGTGTTTGTTCAGATTGTTCCTATTCTAGGTAAGTTGATATTTGATCAAAGTTCAACCAAGATTCAGATTCAATTTCTTGAGGTTCTCTCAATTTTCTAGCAAAGTCAAACTTTTCAAGAAGACCCCAAAGGTAAGAGACAGGAACTTTTGGTTTAAGGATAAAATTAACCAAAATTAATACTCATATTTTTCCTGTGATGGGCTGTAAGTGGTGCCAGATACATACATATACATATGGCAGGAGCAATCTGAGAGCATCATCCTGGTAAGGAGCGATAGGGAGTCAGAGCTAAAAGGGTGGGTAGGAACATTAATGTTGAGGATTGAGAGCAAGTGTTATCTTGAGAGTAGAAGAACAAATTTATGATTTATGTTACTCTGCATTGCAGTGGGTTGAGACCAAGTAGAGCTAAATAATAAAAAGCAGGCAATATAAAAACCTCTTTTTCCCCTAAGATATTTAGCTATTAAGGAAAGGAGAGGAGGGTAATTTTAATATGACATGACTAAGGAAGGAGAGGGCAGAATCTGAAACAAGGTGGAAGGTTGAGTCTTGGGTCCAGAAGAACAGTCATCAATAAATCAAGAAGATGGGTGGATGCATGGATCTGGTTTTAAGGTTTTTTTTTTCCCAGTACTAGGATTTGAACTCAGGGCCTTATAATTTCTAGGCAAGTGCTCTACCACTTGAGCCACATCTCAAGTTTTTTTTTTTTTAGTTTAGTTTTTTGTTTTAGTTTATTTTCTATATAAGTTTTTGTGCTTTTGCCAGGTTCCAGCCTGGGATTACTATCCTCCTACTTCCACCTACTGCCTAGTTGGGATTACAGGTGTGCACCACCACAACTGGCCTGGTTTTGTGTTTGATTTAAAGTTTGATTTGAGAGGTGTGGAAGTTTTTTCTGGATGGTTTAAACACAGTTAACTCTGATTTAACTGGGATGACTCAAAGGAGGCTGCCTACAAACCTCCTGTGAGTGTCATAATTTAAGGATATATAAACATTTGGAGGTTCTCTTTAGATCTTTTAAACAGTGGCTCAGATATCTAAGATTTAAAATCATATTGGGGCTATAGTCTCTTTACACTTGTTTATCTGGTGTCAAATTTGATGTTTGAAATTTAACTTCCCTTTGATAGATGGCATTTTTCCTTAATAACCTTGAGTCGTCCTTTTTCTTCTTAGAGTCACAATTACAAGAAGATAGTGTCAGCCCAGGGCTGTAGCTTAGTGGTGGAGCAGTAGCCTACCATGTAGGAGGCCCTGGGTTCAGTTCTCAGCACTGAGGGAAAACAAAAGCATTAAAGTCAAACAACCGAAAACCACTTACATTTCTCTTTGCTCTCTGCAGGATGGGTACTGGGCAGATAGAGCCTGTGAGCAGCTACTTGATTACGTTTGCAAGATGAAATCACAAACTCAAGGCCCTGGACCAGTGGAAGAACAAAGAGGCTGCCGGAAAGTGAGTAGTGAATGTACACAATGATTTAAACTTAAGGTCATCCATCATTATCAATCAGCAGGCTTTACTTTGGCATTGGAAAGTGCTTTTGAGTTGGTATCACTATTGTCCGTAAAGTTTTCTTTGGGGATTCACTACAGTGAATATAGGGTTATACAGGTCAGTAGCTCCATTCAGAATGTCATGAGAATTAGAAAACAGAGTAGGGAATAAAATGACACACGCAAAGTAACCTGATGAGGGGAATGAGATAAAGGCAGGTCATGGGAGCAGGTGCTACCCTGTCACTGGTAGTCTGTGGTCCCATGAGGTGTCAAGAATGCGCCCAGTAATCTACTGTATGGAACTCAGGGGAGGAGGGAAAGGAAAAGAGAACGATAGAGCATCAAGGTAGAGAACATAATGATTTGTATTGAAAGCTGTTGAAAAAGTGGGGGTGGGAAGGAAGGGATAAGGGAGAGTAATGACAGGGGTTAAGCTGAACAAAGCATACTTACAGTGGGGGATACACGGGGAAACCCCTTTGAACAATGACTTAGGAATTAAAAATGAAAAACAGGACTGTAAAGTAGGTATAATATGCGTGTGGGGTACTTGTGGGAGGGGGAGGGTGAATGAAGGAGATTAAGGTGAGGGAATATGGTTGATGGACTTCAACAATGCAACCTTTTGCAGTTGCTTTAAGTGGGGTGGGGAGGGGGTCAAGGAGGTGGGGGCCATCTAACCAATGTGCAGTGTAAGCCTATTCAGAATTGTCACAATTAATCCCCCATTTACAATGAATATATCCTAATAAAAAATTTTTAAAAAGAATGTTCTCAGTAGATAACCTCAAGTGCTGACCACAAATTGTCCTTGGTCATTTTTTTCCACTTATGGTGCTTTGATAAGCTTTCTTCTGAGGGGGAGATATCTTAGAAATTTACTGCAAGGGGAGGTAGGGCATCTGGACTTCAACTGGTGCAGATAATAGCTCGTTAAATCTGAATAAAGTCATGCAGGCCCACGGTGCTTCAGCCTCACCTCCACAATAGTTAGGAATACCTCACTGGATGTCCTGTGATTCTCAAAGGACAGAGCAAATTGTCTGTAAAATAATTTTTAAAAGCATAAAGGAGCTGCAAAAATAGTTTTGTAGGTTTTGATGTATCATTTTCCTGTTGATTGCTGAGTTGCTTATCTTCCTCTTTTGTCCTTTCTCACTTCTCTTGAATAAAAATGAAATAGGAACTGTTGTCTTTCCAGGAGTGTTCTGTTGTGGTTGCATTGTCTCATAACAAACATCATAAGACCAAGAATTTGTGAAACAATTTGGTACTGGACAAATATGCCACAAAGAAGAATAGAGCAGATTCCAGGAAATAATAGAATGTTAGAGATACAAAAGGTCTTAGCCATGATCAAATTGTTCTCCTAATTTTTACATTCTGGAAACTATGGCCTAAATGAGCCATTTAGCTCTCTTAGCATCTACAGAGACGAGGCTAGAGCCCAGGTCATCTGCCCCCAGGCCAGTGCACTTTGTTTTACTACCAGCACACTTACGTGTTCTTTGCCTAATCATATGTGTATACAGGAGATTGTGGATTCTGACACATCTGTGATCCCAGCACTCAGTAGGCAGAGCCAAGAGGATCGCAAGTTTGAGGTCAGCCTAGGATAAAACAAAGTTCAAGGCCAGCCTGAGCTACATGAGGAGACCCTGTCTCAAAAAACAAAACAAAATGAAACAAAATTTAAATAAAAATGTCAAGAAATTGTATATTATTGACATTTTCTAAAATAATCAGTATATTGCTTCTATGTAATAGTTTTATATTTTTCTATTGATTGTCACGTATCTGCAATCTCTGGCAATAAGCCAAATCTAATCATTAGGATGATATTATAAAAGGAAGTAATAGCAACCATTTGTCAAGTATAGTTATTGTTATGTTCTAATGAAATTATAGGAGAAGTATTATAGTGCTAATTAGAAAAAAGAGGAAAGCAAAAACCCAAAGATTAAAGAATTTGGTCAGCTTAAATATACTTGCCAAAGATGGTGACTTCCTCAAAGGACTGGAAAAAGTAGAAAAAAATTTACCCACTAGCACAGAAAATGAGGCACATTACGTGTTTGGGCATGTGTGGTATACAGCACTCTTTTTGAAAAAATTAAAAAACCACAATCCTGTTATCGTACAGACCTGGGGGTTCAGTTTTCAATTCAGTGCTGCCAGAGTAGGAAACCCAAAGCTAAAAAGTCAGCATAAAGTGGTCCTGAGTTGCCAATATTCCAAATTGCCCAACAGATGCAAATGTAAATCCTCATTATAAAATGTGTAATTATCTAGGGTATAGAGACCCCACAGGTGCATTTGAAACCCCAAATTATAAAATATATCACTAGGACCTTCACATGGGACAATTAATAGATATGAAATTAAAATAAATGTTTAGGAGTATATGGAAAGAAAAGATGGAATTGAAACCATGGGTCAACCACCACGTTTTTGTACTATCATTATGATACATGGATTTCCATTAAGTATTTCTTTGATCCATTTTGCAGTGAGAAAGAGAGAGAGAGGAGAGAGAAAGAGAGAGAGAGAGAAAGAGAGAGAGAGAGAGATGGAGGCAGGAAGGGAGACAGAGAGAGCACAGTGGTGGGAGTTTGTGAGAGTTTGGTGACAGTGAGTCAGGGTTTTGCTATATAGTCCAGGCTGGCCTGGAACCACTGTGTAACCCAGGCTGGCCTTGAACTAACTTGCAGTCCTCCTGTTTCAGTCTTTGAGTGCTGGGATTAAGATGTGTACCACCACACGTGGCTGGTAGCACTGATTTTTGGCGGAAGAGTTTTGTCTATTTTTTTTTAGTTTGTAAATATTTGGGGGATAATATTGATTTTAGTTTTACTGTATTGTGAACTTTAGCAGAATGTTCTTTGATTGATGGGTATGGGTGCCCATCTATATTGATTAGATAAAATTTAATAATTGTAATATTCACTATCCTACATTCTTAAAAATTTGCCTTATATGCTTTGAGGCCGTGTTGTTATATCTTCCTGATGAATCTTTCCTTCAATTATCATGTAATTCTCTTCTTCATTCCTAATGCCTTTTTAATCATAAAGTTGTTTTTTATCTAACATTAAAGTGGCTATATCATTAAGTTTTAGATAGGTCTCTTGTAAACATACATAGATATATACTTGCATTTTGACTTTTAATTTAATTTGGGGAACCCTAGCCTTTTTTTTTCTTTTGGAACCCTAGCTTTTAACAGGCAAACAAACGAGTTTAGATTTGTTTTGTATCTGGATATATTTGGAGCTGCATGCTCTAGCACTCTGGCATCTTTGCTTTCTTTTTACTCCTTTCCTGCATCCCATTAGTTATGTTGAGTAAGCTTTATTCTGTTTCCCTCCTGTTCACACTTGGAAATTATACCTTCTAGTTTTAAATGATTAGTAGTTTATTTTAAATGATTAGCATTATGTTTTCCTAACTTAGTAAAAATTTAATATCTCTATTTGCTGCCTGAACAAAATAAGGATTACTATCCCACTTATACATTTTTTAAATTTTAAATTTTGAAATAATGTTAGACTGAAAAGAAATGATCATGTATGCATGTATGAAATTATCACAATGAAGTCACCCCATTAATGTATGTAAGTCAAAAATAAAATTTTAAAATTTATAAAAAGTAATAAGAACTAATAAAAGAGTTGCAAAAATAGTACAGAGAATTCTAACACCTCATCCACCCAGCTTCCTCCAATGATAACATCTTATCTAACTGTAGTATATTTTTATAATCCAGTAATTGACATTAGAAAGATAATATTAACCAAACTATATTATTCCTATTACATTCTTTTTGTTTTCCCACCCCTCAAATAGTTATATTACTCCTGGATTTGCTAGGTATTTATTAACTTCTTTGGTCAATTTTTTAGCCCTCTTTCATCTGAGTTACAATTTCTACTTTTCAAAGAAAACCCCTCTCTCCCCACTGGTGGTCTAGTAGTAGAACTCTTCCTGCCTTTGTCTGAAAATGTCTTAAATTCATCCTTACCCTGAATAATAGTTTAACTAAGTTAGTTTAGGATTCTAGATAGTATTTTCTGATAGTAATTTATATATTATTTCATTTTCTCCTGACCCTTATTTTTGGCACTGGAATTACCATTATTACTACTGTTGCCCTTTTTCTTCCTTTAAGTGAGTATTCTGTCTTTTCTCGTTGGTTTTAAGACCTTCTCATTGTCTTTGGCATTCCATGTGTTTCCTACAATATATCTAGATTTGGACTTACTCTATCCATTCTGTTTGGATATTCAGTGGGATTCTTCATTTTGAGGCCTCACATATATCTTTCAGTTCTTGAAATTGTCACTCATTAACTTTATTCACTGCTTCTGGGACATCTTCTAGGTAGATGTTCAACCTTCCCATTCTATGTATACATTTTCTATCAGTATTTTTTCATCTCTTTATGCTATAGTCATCCAATTTACTAATTCTATGTAAAACTCCATCTACTATTTTTAATCTCACCATTGAGATTTTAACTTTGTTACTACATCTTTCTATTCCAGAATTCTAATTTTTACCTAGATCTTCCTGTTCTTTGGGCATAGTACACATATTTGTTTTTATATTATGGTTTTCAGATTGCTCTTAAGTTAATGAATTGCCCTTAAAATGGACAGTTCCTCATGAAGCTTTTAATTTTCAGTTATGAGTTATTGCCCAACTCCATTCCCACCCCAGCTCCAAATGCCTTGGTCTGACATGGCTTGGTTTATGGAAATATTTCTGTTGTGTGGTTTTGCATTTCACTTTGAGTGCCTAAGAGATTCCCCTTTTGAAGACTAAATATTACTTTATTTTTTTTTGGTCTTGGATTCCTGTATAATGTGGATAGTGTAAAATTGGAACTGGCACCCATCTGTGGCACAGATTCAACATTTATGTTCAAACTGAAGAACTTTTTCTGATACTCAGACCCCAGGCAGATATCAAGACTGTTATTTGGGGGTTCTGTGGCTAGAGCTTTATGGTTCTCCTTGCACAAAAAAGTTACCTGTGGTGGTATCCTCTTCATAAAAAAGCCTCTCAGTCTCAACTACCTACCTCAGGTGGGTTAAAGGCCAAATATTGTATTAATCTAGATTTGATATATCCTTCAGCAATGACAATCTCAGTATTCTGATTATTTTTCTTCTCCTTTCTCTTATACTCTAACATGGATTTTTAACATTTATTGTTATGTTTTTATCTAGTATTTCTGTGTATTTGAAATATGGAAAGGAACCACATAAAATCATGTGGCCTGAAGTTTGATGAGTGCTCTCCTATGGCCAGATGATATATAAGTGTATTCTTTATATAACTATATAGCTTTGTTTTCACCATTTACTATTGGCTTCCATAGACAGCTAAGCTTGCTATTTCTTAAACTATTTTCTTGGTTACCTATTCTGAATGGAAATCTTAGCCACTGTGTTCGGTTTCTTTAGTGGATGTTTTATTAATAGTTTGCACCAGAATAAAAGAGAATAACTGCTCTGCCCCCATTTGGTTTTGTAATTTTGCATATGAGATATATTTTTTCTACTATTTTCCTTATTCACTTGTATATGGTTTTCATTATATTTAAAATTCTTCATATTTTCTTTAGTCAATTCTAAAGTTAATCAGTTTGTGTTTCATGAGTGAATAATTGTTAAAATATTATTTTATAGTAAATATGCTTGCTAATCTATCATTGGTCCCTTGCTCCATGAAAATGCCAGGGCTGGAAACGACATGGCTTTTACTGCTATTTGATTGGACACACACTTTCAACATTTGCAGAAGCAAACCAAACATGCAAAAATGAGAAGGCTTATTTAACAACTGTTGAAGACAGGTATGTAACTATTTTAATTTTGTTTTAAAATGTGTTAATAGGGAAAATTATAGTCAAATGGCATCCTGCTTGTTGCATCTCAACCAGTGGAAATCATGACCTAGGCAACGTGGAAACTGTACATTTCCTGCAAGTCAAGTGATTGGAATTGGAAGCAATCTGGGTTCACAGAGATTATAATCTATTATTGCAAATATTTTGGAGACACAGTCTTCAAGCAAGGATGTATGGGTTATTGCTGAACAGGGAGAAGATAAAGTGCTTACATGGGGTGACCAACAGGAAATAATGAGTCATAACTTTCAGGTGCAGCCGTTCAGAGTAAAAGGTCAAAGATCCTGTCAGACTGTCAGTAGATGACTGGGTTGACAGTATCATAAACAACGAAAAGAAAGTATCTCCAGTGTCAGTTTTAGCAAAGGGATATTATGGTATAAAGAGCGAAGTATTTTTAAGTTTTCCTTGCACCCTTGGAGCCACTAGGCTATCTGAAATCATCAAAGCCACAAGGAGAGAAGACACAGTGACTGAGAAACTGCAAAGCAGTGCTTTAATCCACGATCTCCAACAATATTTAAAACTTTAATTCACAAATGCAGTTACCTGAATGGGGGAAAGGCCATTTAATTTTGTCAAAAATATAGGTTTGAAAACTTCTGTATCTTATTGCTTATCCTTAAAAACTGCTTGATTAAGGCAGATAGTTTCTAGGTTAACATTGTAAATTAAATCCTTACAGAGTTAGGTGTAGAAGAGAAAAACACCCTAATTTTCTCTGGGGTTCTTGACACATACACACACACGTATATTGTATATACACTGTATATATACTGTTCATTAAACCTATAACAAGGATAAACATTTATCTGCAATGTGCATCATTAAATTGTGTACCCTAAACTCAAAGCACATGTAGAACTTTGGAAATACCATGAAAAATACATTTTAAAAGATCATTCTTTCACATTTATAATAAACCTGATAAGCAGAAGGCCCAAAATAGGCCCTACTTACAGAATCTGTGCTAGGTGTATATGCAGAAGGTATATATGCTTAATGTGTTAATGTTTCTTTTGCAAAACAAAGTTGGTAGTAATGGCCAAGCATTTTACTTTCCTTCTTCAAATTCATTAGCTATCAACAGCTAGGAAAATTTTATATTTACTTTAACATAACAAGATTGACATTGAAGAGTTTTAAATATAAGGGAAAAATAAGTAACCTCCAGTAGAATTTTCTTTCTGAAATTTTCTGTAACCTCTTTCTGGTCTATATAAGATCTCCATGTCATAAACTTACTGTGATATTAGTAGAAACATAAAGAAATCTGTATTTTAGTGGACAGATTGTGAATAACAGTTAAGCAGTTTATTAGATCAAAATATGAGGCTTTCATTAAAACAAAAAAAGAACCATTGGCCTTAAGGGAGAGATTAAATGAACTGATGACTCTGAGCAAATTCTTTAATCACTCCAGAAGAAATGATTCACAATGGTTTAGTGATGAGTCAACAGCAATATTTTCATGTGTGTGAAAGATAGAATGTTATTTTTGTTGTGACACACAACTAGTAATAACAGCTAACATCGACACTTTTATATGCCAGGTGCTGTGATGAGCACTTTATTATTTTATTGAATCTTCACAACAACCACCAAGGGAAGGACTATTACCTTCCTTTTATAGAGGAGGAAATTGAGGTTTAGTGTCCAAAGTTCTCATGGCTTTTAAGGGACATCAGGTACCCATTCAACCTCTAGTTTTTATAGGCACCAAAATGAAGAAAATGCTTAACAGCCAAAATAGTTATCACAGGACCCTAAAGTTGGGGTTTTGAAACTCTGAAAGAATTACTTTCATTCTCATGTAGGGGATTACTTTATTTTTTTGTTACTATTTTTTATTTCTTTTATTCATATGTGCATACAATGTTTAGGTCATTTCTCCCCCTTCCCCCTAGGGGATTACTTAAAAAAATAGTTGATAGGTAGATTATTTTCCTGGCTTCCCAGATAAATCCTCAACAAATAGCAGAGTGGGTATGCGCTGAGGTCAGTGTTTATTTAGTCATTCAGCTGGCATTTATTATGACACTACTATGCATCAGCACTACTGGTGAACATACCTGGACTATTTACAAGTCCTCTGGTGCTTACAATCTAGTATGGGAAAGAAAATCTAGAATGGGAAACATGGTAATCAAATCACACAAAATCAATGTACATTTGCAAGTATGGTAACTACTGTGAGGAAGTCCAAAGTGTTTTAAAAACATATAATAGATGAATTCAAATCAGTCAGGTAGATAAGAGCAAGATCATTTATAAGGGCACACACATCCTAGGTAGAAAGGAAATAATCAGTCTATGTTCACTTAGTGTAATACTGGTCAGTTTTAATGATGAACTCTAGAAAAAGGGAAGATTCAGTATCCCATGTTTAAGAAGAGTATTTAAAATGCTTGGGAAGATTTCTAATAGATTTAACTAGATTAAAAGGCTTGCAAATTTAGGCTGGGAGTATAGCTCAGTGGAAGAGCACTTGCCTAACATGCCTAAGGCTATGGGTTTGATCCCAGCACTGTACAAATAGACAAAAAACCTTGGGTATTTGAAGAAATAAGCATTAGTTCTATATAGTTTGTTTTGGTGTTATCTTTACTGTCCTTTTTTTATAAAATAGGAAATTAAAGCAGAAACAACCATTTCATATGATTTTAAAACTTACCTTTTCTAACAAATGATAACTAGAAATGTGATAATTCCTAAAATCTAATTTTAATATGCTTTTGGATGATAATCTAAAATTTTAAAATATTACAGTATAATGGATGAATTGCCAAAAATTCACTACATTAGTTAATTATAAAAGAAACATGTAACAATAAATATTGCTGTTATTTCAAATATTGTGCTAGAATCTGAATATTTGGGAATGAAGTAATTCTCCGTATCAGCTGTGTCCTTAAATTCAGAACAGTTTACTAACAAGCTACTGGATTCAATTGCTAATCTACCATATGTCAAAATTTAAAGCAAGAAAAGTAAGTAAAATTTGTTAACTTACAGTCCCACTTTCTGTCTTCACTATTCCCCTCACCAAAAAGTGAGGGTAGAGAGGACAGTGTCTGAACCTATAGAGGAAAGACCAACTCAGTTTCTCCCAATACACACTCATAACCCTCATGTCTATGACTTCAAAAGGTGTATGAATTCCTCCTCAGCCAGCAAATAGTTCTGCAGTGACATCAGCTGGATGTCTTCTAATCCAATTTGGTTCTGACACTATCTACCTGGAGATGGCATCAGATACCCCAGATTGAGGGCTTAGTTCCCAAGACTAGCCCTCACCCACCCCAGGTACCAATTGCAAGCTCTAGGTGACTGTTTCACCCATGCTTTTGAAGGACTGGAGTTCCCACTCCCAGCTTATTAGGTTCATTAATCTGCTTGCGCAGCTCAGAAAACTCAGGGAAATGGTTACATTTACTGGTTAATTATTAAAGTGTACAGGGTGTGGTATGGGAGAAGGTGAACTGAGCTGGGTTTTAGTGCATCACCACCCAGGAACCATCACCCAGTCAGTTATCTAGAAGCTCTCTGAACCCTGTCCTTTGAGGGGTTTTATGGGGACTTCATTTCCTGGCATGATTGAAAATAAACTGGGTAGGAAAATTCATCGGGACCTTGACTGTTCAGGTTCTTCTTGGCCTCTGTGTAGCATTCCTCTTCCAGAGCATGGAGGAGGAATGAGAAAGGATCTTATGACCTAGAATCAGACAAAATAGGTTAGAATTATAAGCCTGAAACTGAAAAAAAAAATCACAGTATCACACCAAATCATTCATTCATTCCATCCTTCCATTTTTTTTCTTAGTTTTGCTTAGTTAATAATAGACTGATAGGTCAAGAAAATCAAATGGGCAAAGGAGATTTTATGCAACTTTGACTTCTAGGATCCTATCCATCCATCTTTGGAATGTGTTTATTTATTCTTATTTTTTGCCTACTTTTTGCAAAGCTTAGATTATGCACCCCAAAGTTTAAAAACTTAAAAATATCTATTTTATTTGCAAAAAACAAATAAACATTTTTGGGTTTTAATATAATAAATTATTGGCCTTTCAAGGCAGACTCAGTTAAAAATCTTGGGGCTATTACTGATACTAAAAACCATTTGATTAAAGTGGACATTAAAGAATTGTATCTCAACTTGTATCTTCCTCTCTTGTATGACTAAATGCTAATACATCATAGCACACTGATATAAGTTATGACCAGGGAGGTAAATTGTTCTGCATTAAGTATCATATATATGGTTATGCTCTAGACTGCATTGTAATCAATCTGTTGGAAAACTATTACAATATCTCATATTTTATATTTGTTTTTTCCTTGTATGCTTTCTATTATGTGTGTGCGTGTGTATCACTAACTCTTACATTCTTAGATTAATTTTCAGACTTTTAAGAAAAATAACTTGCATTTGGAACTTTTTTTTTAGTTTGTTCTGTTTAAGGTCTAAAATTATTCAGGCTAAGGTCCAATAAAAATTCTGTTATTGCTAGGACTCTTCGTGTTCCTTTTCTGCAATCTCTCTGGAGTCACCTATTGTTCTTTTTATTCCTGGAAACTTTAGGTTCCACTTTCCTTTTATTCCAAAGAGGAATTTATGTCTGTGTTGCTGCCTACATTGTTCTATGTTAGTCAATAAAGGCAAACTTTGCTTGCCTAGCTTACTGAATTACATTGTTACCAGATTGTGACAGTTCCATCCATGAGACCTCAAAGGGAGAGAAAGTATTAGAATTCATGACTCTGACCCAGTTCTTTGTAGAGAACTTTGTAGCATTCTTTGCTTCTCTGTATTTCTTGATATGTTTCCATTTTAGGGCTGGGCTATAGGAATGAAATTGAGAGGGGAAATTCATGTAGATTATTCCGTTTTAATGTCCTTGATAATCTTACTATCTTTCTACTTACTCAAGAATTGTGTAGAATACTTGACCTCTTTGAAAAGTGGTCTCATTTTTTAAAGTTACAATAGTTGTCTCTTTTGTGTTTTCAAAATTGTCTTAAATTTCAAGGAGGGCCACAGAAGCCAGCCTTTCCCTTAACTAGAGAGAAATGGTTTGAGTGCATTTGAATGATTTGATTTACTCAGCTGTATATTTTCTCTTTGTAAACATACATTTCTTTAGTGAAAATTATTATAACTCAAGTGATACATATACATACAGTACAATATGTTTGAATTATCAACTAAATCATAGCTTGAACATAAGACTGAGATGTTTTTCATGTTGATAATTTAAAATAGTTTATATCAGTGTTCTTAAAGATTAGTTGAGTTTTTTTTTTTTTTTAAAGATATGAACAAGCATTTCTGACTAGTTTGGTTGGATTGAGGCCTGAAAAATACTTTTGGACAGGACTTTCAGATGTACAAAACAAAGGGACCTTTCAGTGGACTGAAGAAGAAGAGGTTCAGTTCACACACTGGAACTCAGATATGCCAGGTAGGTGCAGTGCTCTCTTGAACAGCTTGATTCACCCCACAAATCCTTTAGCAAAGCCTGTTGTTCTCTTGTGTGGCTTTCCAAACAGACTATGGTAATTGATTTTGCTCTTGGTAACTTTTTTTATATTTCTTCCTCTTTTTTGTTTTTTCTTCTTTTTCTTTAAAAAAATTCCATTGAGTTTGCAGCATTCTAAGGAGAAAAGGAAGGAAAAATTGCTAGATTATTTGGTACTAGTCTATTTGAGAAACATTTAGGAAATCTCAAGGGATCACAAATGATCCAAATGGTTAACTTATTTCTGAAAACTTAAAGCTGTAGAAATGGATATAAACATTTTGGTGCAACTATAAATAGAAATATTAGTACGCTTGAGTGTTGGGTAAAGGCTATTGGAATTCATTATTCCAATATCTTGTCTTTATGTTATCCCTTTATATGCCTTGGATTTTGTTTTCATCCTTTTAAGAACTACACAAGGAAAGTTTTAAGTATTGTCATTTAAAAGATGTAGAAATTGGGACTCAGAAAATTTATGTGACTAGAAAATAACTGAGCATAGAGACTAATCTATGTAGTTACCAAAACCTGTGCAATTTGAACTTGTACCATCCACCCTCCCTACCAATTTTGATTTGCCTTTCCTAGTTAGAGACTATAAGTAGTTTCTGAAATAGATGGAAAGATCCCTTGTCTTCTTTCTACACTAGAATTCTGGCATCTGATATTGTGCAATAGGACAACACCCAGATAATTTAGCATCCTTTATAGAAAACACTTCATTGTGCCTGAGTCAAAAGCTAAAAAAGGAGTAATAGCCCAAGTGTAAAAATTTACTATTTGGCCTAGTATGTCTTAACTTCTGGGAGTTATTTTAATTTGTTTTCTCAGCTTTCAGTAAGAAAAATAGATCAATAACCTGAAAAGTGCAATTCTTCTTTAATTATTAAATCATTAACTTAATGAAAAATTTAAGGTTTGGGCTCATTTTTAAATAACTGGTTAGAATATTAAGATTGAAAGCATAGTTTTAAAAAAATCTTGCTAGGATTTCTACTTTACCCCTGTTACTCATTCCACAGTAGGATCTGAGAAATGAATCCTGCAATATCCTTAGGGCATAAAAATGGATCAAAGTACAGCCACAACTCAGTGGCAACCATTGTTAGGGTAGATCATTGATGGAAGAATGGGAGTTCCTCTTTGACTGAATGTATAGCTTCATGAAGACCAAGCAAGGAGACAGGAGCTGGACTCAGCAGTAGGTCAGTTGAAGGGATTATGAGAGTCAGTGGATCCCTGCAGCCTCCGTTGCCATGTGTCCCAGATAACTGAGATTTCAATTGTCTGCAAAGTGGGGGAGGGACTACCTTAGGAATCAAAGAAAATTCTTTGGATGTCATGAAATCAGAGATTTTAGAGAAAACCCCTAGAAAAGATGTACCTCCTTAGAGCTGTGAAAATGAGTTCTAAGCACTATTTAATATCCTTAAAGTACACTAATAAAAACATTAACTCATCTTAGCAGCAAGGAATCCTGGTTTTTTTTTTTAAACCTCTGGCTTAGTTATTATTTGGGAATATCCATGACTACAAAACAGAATCACAAACTATTAAACTTAATATAGTCATTTTATTTATTTATTTATGTCACAACTCTATAAGGTAAGTCCTGTTATTTGCATTTTAAGATGAGGAAACAAGTTCAGAGTAGTTGAGTAACTTACCTAAAATCTCCAGCTCAGGAATGATTTGTTTTGAAATTTATAAAGAACTTTGGTTCTAGCTGGGCACCATGGTACACACCTGTAATGCCAGCACTTGGAAGGTTGAGGCAGAAGGATCATGAGTTCCAGGCCAGCCTGAGCTACAGAGTGAGTCTGAAGCTAGTCTGGACTACAAAGTGAGACCCTGCCTCAAAAAAAGAACATTGTACCTGAGAAGTCCTATAGGAACCCTGGGGTGGAGCAGGGAAGGGAGAGAGGAGGAAGATCTTAAAGAATCAAAAAAGAAAGGGAGGAAGGAAAAACTATTAAATCACTATTTTTATCATTATGGCAATTTTGATCATACTAAAAGTATTGTATCATTAAGTAGCTATGTGTGGCCACTCTGCCAGATGTTACAAATACAAATGTCATCAACATCCCCTACACGTAAGATATAGGCCACAGAAATAAAAGGCCAAATGGTTTAAAATAGCACAAGCCAACTGCCCAGTGCTACAGTAGTGAACTTCTGTGTCTTAGCTTCCTATTCAGGTTTTAGCACACACTCATTTGAACTATTTTCTGTGAGTACCAGAGACCTTCAGTAAACACCTGTTGACTGAATTTTACTTTGCTGAATGCAGGGCGAAAGGCAGGATGTGTTGCCATGAGAACTGGGATTGCAGGGGGCTTATGGGATGTTTTGAAATGTGATGAAAAAGCAAAATTTGTGTGCAAGCACTGGGCAGAAGGGGTAACTCGCCCACCGGAGCCCCCAACAACTCCAGAACCTAAATGCCCAGAGGATTGGGGTACCACCAGTAAAACAAGCTTGTGTTTCAAGGCAAGTATCAAATCAATTACTATGCTAATAAAGAATTTGACCCATCCATTAGCCTCGAGAATCATCTAAGGAATTAAATACAGACAAGGAACAAAACAAAACATAATACATCACCCAGGCTCCACTGTAGAAATGGGTTCTGAGTCTGTTGATCTAGAGAGGACCGGGCCTGAGTCGCTCTTGAAGAATTCCTTAGCATGCTAGTGGCCAGCAAACACAACTGACAACACACAGGCCATTCACAGAAGTCTGCCCTCATCTGCTTCATGGTCATCTCCCCTCTCTGATTCTCTCCTTGCTCTCAGGACTTCCAGCCCTGTTCTAAGTTCCTAATTCTTTTTATCCTTTTTTGTTTGTTTGTTTTGGCAGTACTGGGGAATGAACTCAGGGCTTGTTAGGTAAGCGCTCTACCACTTGAGCCATATACCAGTCCTTTTGCTTTTAGCTTGTTTTTCATATAGTGTCCCATGCTTTTCCCTATGCTGGCTTTGAACCTGAAATCATCTTATCTCTGCGTCTTGAATGTCTGAGCCTACAGGTGTGCACTACCACACTACCATTCTTTTCATCTTGAAAAATTTTGTTCCCTTTCATGCTATCCTTTGTGTCTCATTTTTTTCCTGCTCTTGGTGTCCAATATTTTATATCATGTATAAATTAGTCTACAGTTATACCATGAAGGTATTTTAGAGAGACCTCTCCATTTTTCAGATTTAATCCATCATGATTATAATGATGCAGAAGAAAACATTGATAAGTAGAGGCATGACCTTTCAATGCCTTTTACGTGACAACCCAATATTCTATTATTTTATGCATTCTTAGGTGGGACAATCCATTTTTTCCTTTATGTAATCAAGTTCAATAAAATAAACAAAACCAGAAACAAAACAAAAATGAATGAATTAAAGATTTGGGTCTTTCCCTGTCTCTTTTAAATCATATCCTTTCTAGAAAAAGTTAGAAATAGTCAAATAAAGAAATAAATCTACTGCTCAATAAATCTAGCCTGCTCTCAGGATTGCTTTTATTCAAACCCTTTGAAAGGCCATGACATGCCTTGTAAGACAATTTGGCAAGATTGACAACTTCTGTCGGGAACTAGGGATATAGCTCAGTGGTAGAGTGATTGCCCAGCATGTGAGAGGCCTTGAGTTCAATTCCCAGCGCTGCAAAAAAAAAAAAAAAAATGCAGCTTTTGTCAGAATGAAGTTGTCCACTCATACTCCTGAAGGGTATGAGTAATTGAGCTGGTCACCCTCACTAAGCAAATCAGTTTTTTTATCATTACATCTGAAAATTTTGCATGACTGCATTACCAGATCCATTCTACACACAGACTTTCAGCTGAGGGTGGTAGGCTGTGGAGATTTGTTATAGCATTTTTATTATTTGAGAGAAGCAGCAGAATTACCAGAGCTGGGAAGTGAACCAGAGATTCCAGTGGAGGCAGGATTTTAGGTGGATGTTCAACAGATCCACACATATGCTTCACTATGAATTATATGGTTTTAGAGGTGGCTGGAGTGGGTTTTACTTGGAAATGTATAGACCATCTTTGTAAGCATTAACTTGTAGGAGTTAATAAAATTCTACTGGTAGTAAATTTATTTAAGAAAATAAAATCTGATATTAGAGTCTAGCAGGTTGAGATACTCAGGAATCTTGGGAGCTACCAATGTGGAAACTTGCTCAAAATAACTTCACTCAGGTAAATCAAGTCAAGTTCAGGTCGAGGTGAAGGTTGTCTTATATCTCTTGATGATGAGCTGCGCAGCCAGAGTCCATTGGAAGCAAATCTCCTTTTCCACAAACTCCTGATGATTTATTTCACTTTTATAATGAAAATTATAAGTTGTTGGCTATAACTAACTCTTATTCTATTTGCATATTGGTAAGCATGTCCGGGAATGCCACAGTGGATTCCATTCCATAGTTCTGCTGGCAGTCCTCTACAATAGGCCATAATCTCTAAATTATAAAATCTATTAAATTTAGTTTAGTTTATAACCCATTTCTACCAGATGAATGTCTGTTGTATATGCTTCAATAGTTGTTAAAATGTGCAACTGTTGAGAAAAAAGACAAGGCAGTTAGGAAGGATCCTACTAACAAAGTGTTAGAATAACAAACTCTGGTACAAGTCTAGGGAGGTCATTTTCCTTATTTGTGTTTATTTTCTTTGTATCTAAATTTATTAGTTTTTTTGCATCTCAATGGCACTTTTCACATTTAACCAAATTACTCTTGTCTTCCTCAATGAGCCATAAACCGAATCCATATGCCTTTAGCTTCTAAGATTTTAATCTGATTTCTCCTGTGCTGTAAAATACTTTTATTTTCTAAGGCTTTCTCAAATAAAATCATCCCCCAAATTTTGCTACACAAATAATCACTCATAAATAGATTTTACATAGAGGAAGTTATGACATTGTTTTGGGCCATTGTAATGCTTTGCTTTTCTATAAAAAATATTTAAAAATAAAGGATTATTTCTCTTGATTTGATAAGCTATGGTGTATAAAATAACTTCTGAAACACTTTCATCTTTAGCTGTTTGCAAAAGGAAAACATGAGAAGAAAACATGGTTTGAATCTCGGGATTTTTGCAGAGCTCTGGGTGGAGAGCTGGCTAGCATTAATAACAAAGAGGAACAGCAAGCAATATGGCGGTTGATAACGTAAGTATCTTTCTTATGTCATACCTTTTCTTTCACCTGCTTGGTGCTAATGATGTTCAGGAAATATTTCAGGATGTGACTTTAAACACCTAGATCATGTCTCACATCTGTGGTCATTTTGATTTACTTTCAGCTCATTTTTTTAAATTTTATAAATATAAATCCAGAAATGAATTGATGTGTTAAGGTTTAAGACACTCAGTATATATTTATTGAACGAATGGGTAAGTGGATGAATGCATGACTATCTTTCAGCACTCTGCAATAATTCATCTTCAAGCCAGCACCCCATTTTCAGGATTTTCATGGGTTGAACCAAAATGCACATCAATTGCCTAGTGCTTATATTTACCCGTTAAATCTCTTTACTTGGGTACTAACTAAATTATGTTTTGCAGGTAACTTTTAAATCTGGTTTGTCCTAATAGGTTACCAAACTTATTTTTTGGCAATAGCATCTGCTTTCTGTATGTTTTGAAGGGCCAGTGGGAACTACCATGAGCTGTTTTGGTTAGGATTGACCTACGGAAGCCCTTCAGAGGGTTTTACCTGGAGTGATGGTTCTCCTGTGAGTAATTTGATTTAATATCATTTTCTTATTTATTTATTTTATGTATGTATGTATGTTTTGTCAGTACTGGAGATTGAAGTCAGGGCCTCATGCTTGGTAAGCATGTGTTCTATCATTTGAGCCACACCCCCTGTCCTTTTGTTTTTAGCCCAGAGACCATGATCCTCCTACCTTTGCCTCCCAAGTAGCTGGGATTATAGATCCATACCACCTCACATGCCTAGTTTTCTGGATAAGATCTCACTAATTTCTTCCTATCTGGTCTACAGCCACAATCTTCCTATTTCCACCTCCCAAGTACTCACGAATTTATTTTGATGTTTTCCTTTGGCTTACCCACATTTTTTTAGTAAGATAGGTTATTATTATGATAGCTGGAGACATTGTTCAATGCAAAATAAACACAATTTTAGGACCACTCTCTTGACCTTACCCCTGTTTACCTAAAGCATAGCTACGGTTGAATGAATGAAAAAGACAAAATAAACAACTCATTCTGCTGGTTTATATGAAATATCTTCATTTTATTTAAAAGTGTGCAGATAGTTAAACTTCTCCAAAACTGGGTGTTTTGCAGCCTCCTCTAGATAAGTAGAACTCAGCATAACTTTTTGACATTCCCATTAATAGCCATCAGGATTTTTTAGATTTTTCCCATTCTCAGCACTGGAGAAGTGAGAAGTTATGGCACTTGCTGGCACCACTTAGCAGCTCTTGTTATCAAAGGAAATGATTTTGTAGAATTCTAGTTCTACCTCCTCTTGTAACTCAGCAACTTCCAAAGCACTTGGTAAGATGACTTATCTGATGGTTCTATTGATACTTGGATTTTATAGTTAGATCTCTGGAAAAGAGATCACTATGCTCAGTCCAAAACTCTCTGGGCTCTGATTGCACGTTGAAAACTCCATAGAGGACATAAACCCAGGGCCTTCATTTATTGCTACTGTTCATCTCGTCAAAGTTTTCTACCTTCGTTAGCAATATTTTTATGCCCTTTTCTTTTGTACGAAGAACTCATTGCACTTCTCTATCCTACCCATCTCATAAAGAAAAAGCTTCTAACAACCCATTGAAATATTATTATCCCTTTACAATAGGTTGTAAATTTAGAAACTTCCAATGCTGAGAAATAGAACTTTGTTCTGTAAACCTCACTTTTGTGGCCCTTGTATCCATTCTCTTTGATGAAGCTAAAGACAATGTTATAATAACCAATTTTCTATTCTAGTCAACTTCAAAATTTTCCAAGCGATGAAAACTGTTTCTTTCCCACTCGTATTCATAAAGCATGCTTTCAGAACAAAGCTGTTGTGCAAAAAGTAAGTGGGTGAAAAGTGCAAATGTCTATTTCTTTTTCTGTTTGGAGAGATGATTGACATCGGCTTGACAGAAATCCTTAATAGCTTCAACTTAATGTTTCTAATTTAGCTCCACTCACCTGACCTTTGGCTAAGATCAAGTATAATATTTCTAATGTAGGTTTCATATGAAAACTGGGCCTTTGGAGAACCTAATAATTATCAAAATGTTGAATACTGTGGTGAGCTGAAGGGTGACCCCAGTATGTCCTGGAATGATATTAACTGTGAACACCTCAACAACTGGATTTGCCAGATACAAAAAGGTATAATCAGCTGCCCTCCCTTTTCTCTCAGATTGGAGCACTAGCCTCTGACACCCCAAATATTCCCTTTATTGGCAAAATCAAGCAAAATAACAGAATAAGGGAACTATTAGGAGCTCTCATTTCACAGGATAAGAATGAAGTCTTGAGTACAGATAAATGCTCCAGAGGAACAGAAGATCAAAGGCCACCTCCATTCCTGGACAAGAATCATGTCCTCTGAAGCTGTTCGCATAAGCAGTTCTGACTCTCGTCCAGGTTCTGCAGTGGTGGGCGTGGATATGTGTTCTGCCATGTAAAGCAGAGTCATGATTTCATTTTTGAAATTTTTACCTTCTGTCCTTCTGTATTAGTCATGAAAGCAGTCAGGTGTCTTGATTTTAGAGACAAACTTTCAATACTAAGATCTCCAGCACCATTTGGAGATCCCTGATGCTATAAGACACAGCATGACCAGAAAGTCAGGTGTTGAGGTCAGAGGATCTAGGTTCTCATGTTAAGATAAGCAAACAAGCAAATAAATTTACCCTAGAACCAAAGCATAAATTAGCTTTCTCCATTATAAATAGATAAATGAAACCACATTGCCCTCTGCTGTTGGGGAATCCTGGTAACTGTCCCCACTCTACTGCCCTCCTGTGTCTGTCTGCTTATTTTCTTTATCCCATCTGATTAGATTTGAGCTTTCAATGTTTCCAGAATAGAAGGACCAAGTGTTTATTATTATTTTTTAAGTCTCCTAGCAACCAATGGCTAGTTGTATCCTTTAAAAATTATTAGTAGCTTTGTTCTACTCTTATAATGTTAAATATATTAACCCAAAGCTAGGTAACTTGAGTCATTTTATGAGATTCCAACAAAATGTTTTTTAACTACTTGGGAAGAAAAATATTTCATTTAAATTTCAATAAAAAATTATATAATAAGAATCTTTGGAGGAAGTATATTTTTATTTTATGCATAGTTCATGTCAAAGAATTTCAAATAATGAAATTGTAAGTAATTTCATAGCTAGTGAAATGGATAACTGGAAATCTGTCATCTATTGAACAACTAATATATACTAATAACTCACATATTTTATCCAACCTACTTACACATATTACTAATCCCTGTATTGAGTTTGCAAAATGTAAACGAAATAGTTTAAACCTATACTTGAGATTTTAGTTAGGTTTCCTAATTCTGAAACTCATGTTCTTTCCTTTCCTTTATAGACACTACCTATGCTACTAGAAACTGTCTTCAATTTCTGTAGTTATTATTGTATCTAATTTGTTTAAATCTTAATTCTCTTTTTTCCTTCTTTCTCTTCCTTATAAGACAATAAGTGAATTAGAACATGGAGAGTAGGGGAGAAAACAGTTGGCATTTTATCAATATTGGCTCATGAAAATAAAAGAATCTGTAATAGAGCATAGTTTATATCTAACTTCTTTTGTTTTACAGGAAAAACACTAAAACCTGAGCCAACACCAGCCCCTCAAGACAGTAGGTGTTTCTATGTTTTCTGATCTCTAAATTGATAGCCTGTTTTCCCCCTTTTTCCTTTCTCAATGAAAAGCATTACCCTAGAAAGGTGGAGAGCAGAAGTTCATAAGACTTTTGTGAATGTCATGAAAAGTTGTATTTTTAACTCCAGAGAAGCCCACCTGCACAAACATAAGACCTGTTAGCACAACTTCCCCTGGGTTCACAAATCCCAAATTTCTTCTTTTTTAGCACATGGACAATAAATGTTGTAATAAAATACCACAAACTCGGTGGTTCAAAACAACACACATTTGTTCTGCAAGTCAGAAATGTGAAATCAGTTTCACTAAGCCAAATTCAAATGTCTGCACAACCATGTTTCCTTCAGAATGTCTCAGGGAGTGAGTCTGTTTCCTCATTTTTATAAGCTTTTAGAGCTGCATTCCTTGCATCCATTGGTTCATGGCCCTTTCCTCCACCTGCAAAACCAGCAATGTAATATCTTGCTTTAGTTGTCATATTGGCTTCTTATTTATTTGAATCTCCCTCAATGTCCCTCTATAAGGACACTTGTGTTATACATTTAGGGCCCACCCAGATAATATGGAGGAATCTCTCATTCTCAAGATCTTTGATTTAAGCACATCTACAAAATCTTTTTCATTATAAAGGTAACTTTTATGGGCTTTAAGGATTAGGACCCGGGTGTCTTGGGGGGCCCTCGTGCAGCCTCCTTCAGCACAGAAGCATAAAATCCATGGTTTGGAAGAACCAACGAGGTTTTCTTGGCATATGACTTTCTTGGTTCTCCAGTTCTACCACGAACTACTCAAGTCTGTCTGTGAGAAATTGTTTCTTACATTGGAATTGAATGCGTTTCTCATAGAACCCAAGCCTTGGACCTAGAATATCATGGGTGCACTTGTAAATCCTTTCAGCTGTGCGATCCTGTTGGTGAAAGTAACATTGGGAGTTACTGTATTCAATAATGACCCATGGAACGAGTTGGAAAGAGAAATAGGCTAGTTTTACAGGGTGGTGGCAAGTAAATATTTGACTTGAGGCAATTCAGTCTACAGAAATAGACAGTTTGCTTATCCTGGTCTCTCAGAGTTGTAAATATCTTCACTCTGCCCATACTTACCAAGTTATTTCATTTATATAGGTAAAACTCATCACCCTTTCTTATTGCTTTTTCAGATCCCCCAGTCACTGAAGATGGGTGGGTGATTTACAAAGACTACCAGTATTATTTTAGCAAGGAGAAGGAAACCATGGATAATGCACGAGCATTTTGCAAGAGGAATTTTGGTGATCTTGTTACTATTAAAAGTGAAAGTGAGAAGAAGTTTCTATGGAAATATGTAAGCATATGATTAATTGAAGAATGGAACAGTGACATGTTACAAACAAAGATAATGTCTACAATTGGTACCTCATGATATAATTTCCAACTAGATGCTAAATCTGATGTTCCTAAGCTCAGGGTTAATGATGTTAGTTCCTGAGAGAAGAGGCCATCAAGGGAGTTACAGCTTACTGTTTGAATATTCAGTGCAGGAATAATAGCTTATTGACTGCATATACAGAGCAGAATCATAGAATACATAAACATTTTGTAGTCTGGGTTTTGTGAGGATCCATACTTGATGGCTTTGAGTTCATTAATTTTCTTTTCAAAGATTACAAATCCCAACAATTGCTATAAATCAATCCTAGACTCTTTGTATATCATACAGTTTGATTATTAATTTGAAAATCTGTCTTAATGAATCATATTATTGAATAAAATATAGAACAGCTTCATTATTTGTATAAAAGTCTTTCTTGGTTGTACCCAAATAATCAACTATTACTGAAAGTATAATTATTTTTTCTAAGAGTGCCTGCCTCAATATCTTTCTGATTAACAGCAGTCAAGGCATCCTTATTGTTTTCCAGAGTAAGTAAGAAGGAGAAAAAAAATAAGTGTATCAGTTCTGATAGAAAAAAATTCATTTGATTGCAACTATGAATATGTAGCTGTAGCCTCAATTATCATCATATGTCTTTGTGGGTATACCTTGCTTTGAAATTCTCAGGTCATATCCTAATATTGTATAAATATATATGCATAATACAAGTTGTGTGTTAAATCTGTACATATATGTATTGTGTGTAGACACACACACATATATATATACGTATGAGAAAAGCATATTCTTTGTTGCATAAATCTCCACTAGCTATTTTGTTTTAAAGCACCAACTTTTTACAGGGCACTTGGTATTAAAGAGACTGACTTAAGGCATGGCATTTGCTTTATAAATGCAAGTTGTTAGATTGTTTACATTTTTATTTTTATTTCTATGAACTTAAATCCTTCCTCTTTGGGAAAGATTCCAAATAGGCTACCTCATTAATGTGTAGATTTTATCTGAGAATTGTTTATTCTATGATTCTAAATTAAACTATATGTAAAATTTCATATTCTAGATAAACAAGAATGGTGGGCAGACACCATATTTTATTGGTTTATTGATCAGCTTGGATAAAAAGTTCATGTAAGTAAATCAAGCTAAAACTACATTTAGGATAGTGCTCTGATAAATACCTAAGAATTATTTTGAAAACTTTTTTGCTGAGTGAATTTGAAAAAAAATCTACAGCATTTTAAATCTGCAAAGAATCTCTAAAACAGAAAAAGAGAAAACAGTTTAATCCTATTAACCATTTCAACAATGATAATTCTCGAACAATTCAATATTGGAATTAATCTTGTAACATTTCACATCCTTTTTAGGATATCATCAGGTATCACTAAACTACAGACTAAGAAGATGTATCAGATAGATATGAGTACTGAATTTAGTTCTAAAATTATGATCCTATCTGGACTAATGTACCCAGAACTAAAGGATGCTTTTTTGTTGCCTCACTCACTGCTTTGCCTGGCAGCACTGTTTATTTATTTTTGGGGAGCAGTTGTGGAATTTGAACTCAGGTCTTCAAGCTTGCTAAGCAGGCACTCTACCACTTCAGCCATATCTCCAGCCATTTTTGCTCTGTTTTTCTTGGAGATAGGGTCTTGCTTTTGCTCAAGCTAGCCTGCACTGTGATCCTCCATGACAGGCATGCACCACCACACCCAGTTTTTTCCATTGAGATGAGGTCTTAAAAACTTTTTTGCTCAGGCTGGTCTGTAACGACAATCCTCCCAATCTTAGTTTCCCATGTTCCGTGGGATGACAGGTGCATGCCACTACACCTAGCTGTTAGTTAAGAAAGGGTCTTGTGAATTTTTGGCGCAGACTGGCCTCAAGCTGCAATCCTCACAATCTTAGCCTCCCTAGTAGACAGAATTACAGGTGTGAACCACTAGCACACCCCTAGCAGCAGTGTTTTGAAGAACTATTCCAATTGCATGAAGAACTTCCCTTCTAAAATGATGGATGTTCTGATTCTTATTATGTAGAGTCCAGGAAAGCTGTGTGGGAGGGAAGAAATAAGTGCAATACGGAGGGCTCTTTCCTCATTAATCAATAAGCATCTTCTCCTGAATTTGAAGAACAGATATGTCCTCCTGGCTCATGCACAGCTGTCTTATTCACACACATTCCACAAGATTTTTATTGCCATCTGTGAGCAATAGAGACCTACACATAGGCTCAATATTTTTAAAGAATAGAAATGTTTGATCTTCCTATTGACAAGCACCTGTTTTATCATCTTTAAAAACAGAGGCTTGAATTTGATGACCTCTTTTGGGTCCAGTCCTCACAGTCTCTGAATTTCTGTAACTTATGAAAACAGGCATTGGCCCACCTACCTTACTGAGAAACAGAGTAAACATAAGACTGACAGAATGGCCCTAATGAGAAATCCTATAATATTCTGTCCCTATATGAATGTGTGGTTATAAGGGAGCCATGTCTGAAGAGCACTATGGGAGGAGGTTTTGCGTCTGGCCCATTTCCAGTGTAATTGGGATCTCCATTTCTTCTCAAACTTGAAGACTAAAGGTAGTTTGTTTCAGGGAGGGAAAGAAGGCAAACCAATATTCTATATTCTTGTCTAATATGTTTTCCTAATGGATGGTTTCCTGATGACTGATGATGCCCTAAAACAAAGACTGGTGACATTTTGCAGGATTAAATCCAGTTTGAGTTGTTTGTGAATTGCATCAGAGAAGCACAATGCTGAGGAGCACACTCAGTGTCCAGGCATTTGGGATTTTCCTGCCAGTCTCTAAGAAGAGGGCTTTTGTTTGCTTGGTGTACTGTGTTGCATTCGTTTTGATTGACTTGCCTTTTTCCATCTCTAGGCTGTAGTCAATTGTTTTAATGACTGAACTGTTAAAAAATGGTTGAATTTTCTTTTCCAGTTGGATGGATGGAAGCAAAGTGGATTATGTGGCTTGGGCTACAGGTGAACCCAATTTTGCCAATGAAGATGAAAACTGTGTAACCATGTATACAAATTCAGGTAGACAATATAGAAGCTTTTGTTTTGTGTTGTAGAGTGCCATTTCTTTCATCCTTAGGCTAAAATAGTTAGTTATACACTTAAGTAAGAAAAGAAGAGATAATTCTAATTTGAGCTACACAACTACTCAATTTATAAAGGAGAAATTTGCAACGTGTGTACCAGTATGCCAACAAATGACACTTGTGATCATTTCACTTCTTCCCAAATTATGGAACTTTTTCTTTCATGTTATTTCTTGAGGAAAATGTCCAGAACTTATTTATTTATCATCTTTGTTTCTTTCTGTAGTTTCTTATATTCTATAAAATAGGGATAGTGATGTAACTTATCTGTTTTTGTGAAGATTAAACGAGATAATGCATCTAAAACTAAGCACATGCTTAGACATTGTTAGACATTATTATGAGTGACTGTAACTAGATAATATATCTGTAACACCGAGTACATGCTTGGTGTGTAGGAATCTCTCTGTAAAATTGAAATTTTATCAATTTAATGAAAGAGCAAAAGGGATATTACATGGGTTCTTCTAGTCACTTGTGTAAAAATAGTTTGATTTTATTCTAAACCATATTTTGAGAATCCGCATAAAATAATTACATTTCTGAAAGACAGCATTTTAAAACATGAGTATGTAAATCTAATTTAACTGTTCTGCTCTTTGCCAGGGTTTTGGAATGACATTAACTGTGGTTATCCAAATGCCTTCATCTGCCAGCGGCATAACAGCAGCATCAATGCCACGGTTATGCCTACCATACCCCCAAGCCCAGGTGGCTGTAAGGAAGGTTGGAGTTTGTACAATAACAAGGTATTAGGAGACTTGGTTGCAGTCTTAGCATTATTCAGTATGAAGAGTAACAAATGCAAATCTTTCATCTTAAAGGTAACTTTTGCCTGCCTCATCACTTCAGGCCATTTCTGCCAAGAATAAGTGGAGAGTTGCATGGAAAATTCTCAATGGAAATTAAAAGCATGCTTAAAATAGTCTCCTAAGAGTCATACCCTTTATCTCAAGGGAGAATAAACCTTTGCAATGAAAGTTTGTGGGTCATAGAGATGACTTAATTTTTAAAATCCCTATTTAGTTGTGGAAGAATTTATAATTAGCTCTCAACTTCATGAATTATTTTGATATCTTTAGAACAAATTTGGTTATCTTTAGATAACTCCTATGGGCTTTTATTCCCTTCTTTTTCAGTGTTTCAAAATCTTTGGGTTTTCTGAAGAAGAAAGAAAAACTTGGCAAGCAGCACGCAAAGCTTGCATAGGATTTAAAGGAAATCTGGTATCCATACAGAATGAAAAAGAGCAAGGTATGCAGATCATTTTCAAGTCAGTTATAAACTTAAATATGCAGGTTTGCCAATAAGATGATAGGCTGTTGCTGATTGTAACTGATTTTTTTGGTTTTCCAGAGTTAAAAATTGGTAAGGAAAAATAATGAAGCACTTAATAAGAATGATTTTAGTTCACTTGCCCATTTCTTTATTGGTTCATTAGTTTTGGGAGAACTTAATTTTTTAAGTTCCCTATATATTCTGGTTATGTTATCATTTGCTGGTAAATGGATGGAATTGGAGAACATCATTCTGAGTGAGGTTAGCCTGGCCCAAAACACCAAAAATTGTATGCTCTCCCTCATATGTGGACATTAGATCAAGGGCAAACACAACAATGGGATTGGACTTTGAGCACATGATAAAAGCGAGAGCACACAAGGGAGGGGTGAGGATAGGTAAGACACCTAAAAAATTAGCTAGCATTTGTTGCCCTTAACGCAGAGAAACTAAAGCAGATACCTTAAAAGCAACTGAGGCCAATAGGAAAAGGGGACCAGGAACTAGAGAAAAGGTTAGATCAAGAAGAATTAACCGAGAAGGTAACACACACGCACAGGAAATTAATGTGAGTCAACTCCCTGTATAGCTATCCTTATCTCAACTAGCAAAAACCCTTGTTCCTTCCTATTATTGCTTATACTCTCTCTTCAACAAAATTAGAGATAAGGGCAAAATAGTTCCTGCCTGATATTGAGGGGGTTGGGAGGGGAGAGGGAGGGGGCGGAATGGGTGGTAAGGGAGGGGGTGGGGGCAGAGGGAAGAAATGACCCAAGCATTGTATGCACATATGAATAATAAAACAATAATAAAAAAAAGAATGATTTTATTTGGTTATAGGCACCATGCTGGATTTTAACATAGATTCCTTTTCCATTTTCATAGCACCTCTATAAAGTAGGTATTATTACCCCACTTGTGAAAGAGGAAATGGTAATGGGAGAGCCATGAGTGAGGGACCTTGCCTGGTAAGAAGAGTTTGGAATCAAACCCAGGACTGCTGGATTACATTCCAGCCAGTCTCCAAAAATCAGTTTGCTTCCCAAAGACCCAAAGAATAAAATGAACAATTGCTGAATTCCAATTTACTTCTCTTCTAGGCACTTAATCGTATAACTTGTAACACAGTAAGGCTGATATTTTAAATAAGAACTTTGAACAAATTCAGAAATTTTTTTTGATAAAACATCAGGATAAGTCAGAGCTGGAGAGAGCACTGAAGGAGAAACTTGCCATATCCACATAGCAGATCGTAAAGTTCATTCTGTTGTTGCCAAGAGAAAGGAATGTACCACTTTTGCGTGGACTTTTAGAGCCTTTGTTGAGACAGATAATAGGTTAAATTTGTGATTTGTGCTGCAAAGAGGATGCTGACCACCTGCAGGAAATTTAGACTAAACTGATGAAGGGTTTGGAAACCACTTTAAAGTGAGTTATGGATCAGACACCCTTAAACAATTTAGGAAAGAGAGGACCCAATGGAATTCTTAGGACCTATGAGTAGCTGTTACAGGGAAATAGATTTAACTTCAAAATCAGATGGGTATCCCAACAACTAGGACTGATAACTTGGTCTGCTTTGTGAAGGAAGCAAAGTTTCCAAAGGATGGTGAAAATGCTTAAACTGGGAGGAGGTACTTAAGTGGATACTAGAGGGCCACATATACAGGCTTTTACATCAGGCAGAGAAGGTACTGTGTATATACATTTATAAGGATGTTGTAAGGGGGAAAAAGATAGACTGGAAATTCTCTTTCATTCTAAGTTCTTTCACAGTCACTTACCACCCAAAATGATGTGTGGAAACGTATAAGAAGAAAGACACTAGAAACCTGCATGGTGCTTTCCCAAGCATTTGCCCTAAAAATGCCACCATGTGCTGCCTTACAGCACATTATACAGTAAACCAAGCAAGCTCCTACTGAGAACATGACATCTGCATTTCCATAACTGGCCTACTACATTTTGGACTTAGCTACCCAGCAGAGAAACACAATAATTGATTTCCTCTCTTAACCACAAAGGGCTGATTTCTGGCATAACCGAGTTGGAACCTGAGTACTAGAGATGTGCAGAAGGAAATGGTTTTGAGATAAAATAACATTATTTCTGGCAAAACAGGCACAAGTTGTTTAATTTTTTATTGTGGCTGTTGGCAGTAACATTTAAAAACAGAAAAAAAAGCTCAGTGCTGAATGTTGGCAGGTAGAGCTTTTCCACAATTCATTTCAAGTTGAGGGAGGATAGAAAAAGTTATAATCTTATTTAGGAAACAAAATAAATCAAAATAAATATCTACCCATGTCCTATTTCTTTGAAAAATGTTGGAAGAAAAGTCTATTTTTTTATTTTTATCTTTAGTTTATTCAGAAAACAGTAAATCTCTGAGTAAGCCAGCTGCTCTCTATACTGCTTACTGTACAGAAAGAGTATGTATAGCAATGGCTGTTCCAAGAATGCTCTTGAACAGACAGATCATTGTATCTCCGAAGACTTCTATTTTGCATATTCTATTTGTAGCCCTCAGGCTTAGTCATTGCATTTCCTGTTTGAATGCAGAGGACATATTTAAACGTAAATTGCTGTTCTATTGCACAGGAGCTCATCCACTGAGGAGTCAGTGGTTCAGGCACTGTTGGGGGCAAAAGCAGCTGCTGGGGGCACATGGAGATGGGCTAAGGAAAGGAATGAGGGACATGAACATTTAAACCTTTCCAAAGCTTCTGGATATTTGTCACCATTCTGTCCTGTCTACCATAACTCTGACAAAGCAAGAAGCCATATTGTTGTGCTCTGAATTTCTCTAGAAATACATACGCAAACACACACAGACACACTCCTTAGGTTCAAGCATATTCAGGAGATAACCTTGATCCCTAGAATTTGCCCAGCAAGAATCACAGTTTGGCAATCTAAGAAACTGATAATTTAAAAGTCTAATACTTCTTGTTTTGACAAATAGCTTTGATTTTTCAGGACTTTTCTGGGTTAAGAGACCTCTCTCCCATTGTTACTATAATCAGATTATTTTGTTTACAGAGTCAGAACTCACAGGATGAATTTTTATAAATTAGAAAAATATGCTCCTTTCTGAAGGCTGGCAGGCAGCCACAACCCAGATGGGGGTATACAGCATGAAGAGTGGGGCATGGGATAGATTTCAGTTTTCTTTTCTCCCTTGCCCTGGTGCCCTTGGGCAGAGTTCAACTTTCACAACTATTTGCAGTAGCCTAGATAAAATCTAGACTTTTATTGTAAGAAACTTTTCAAAGTGCAATGTTTAATTGCTAGCTGGCCTCTAAGGTGAGCAAGTGTTTGTTTTATGGTGAGTACTTGTAAATACTAAAAAAAGACTTGAATCTCACTCTCAGTATTTTCAAATGAACATATTTAAGATATTTTCTGTTATCTTGAATATTAAACCCCAAAGTTTAAAACTGTCTTTTGAAACTTTCTTCTAGCATTTCTTACCTACCATATGAAAGACTCCACTTTTAATGCCTGGACTGGGCTGAATGACATCAATTCAGAGCACACGTTCCTTTGGACAGATGGGAGAGGAGTTCATTATACAAACTGGGGAAAAGGCTATCCTGGTGGAAGAAGAAGCAGTCTGTCCTATGAAGATGTAAATACCACTTTCAGATCACCTCTCTCACACTATTGATTACCTTCCTATGAGAAATCTACCAGAGTCCTCCTGCACCCAATCCATTTTTGTAGATTTTAACTATTATGGACTGAGACAAGCTGGAGGGAGGGGACATGCATTTGTTTAGGAACTCTTGGCCTTGGAGGATTGGTCATAGTGAATAGTAGGAAACTCCAGCTCCATGCTAAACCAAGTTTGTACTCGGGGCAAACACATGAACCCAGGGTTATAACATGCTTTATATCAGCCTCCCCTTATCCCTTGCTGCTGTTGTAGTATTTGGGATGCAGGTCTGGAAGCCCCTATGACTTCTGAAGCTATCATCAGCATCACCAATATCATTACTGAGTTCGTGATTGTAGACTGCTCATTCTGTTACAAACACTGCACGAAGTGCTTTTGTATATTACAAGACCGGCTAACGCTTCTGTATTTTACTACTCATACTCTTATGTAATTGAACACTCTACCTGTTGGTGTCCATCATCATGTGAGGGATTGTGAATAGTATGAAGAAATAGAAGACTTTGTTTCTACCTTAAAAAAGCTTGCACTTAAACCAGAATATAAGTCTTATATAAGAAAGGCAGTAGTAGAGAAATGAAAGTGTATAATTGCAGGTCAGCTATACAGTACTATAGTAAAGAGGAAGGAAACTCACTGTGGGATGGGGTGATTTATCCACTTGATATACACCTGTGGAGCTCTTTTGTAAGGCACTGTCATTGTGTGACATGGTAGATGGAGGGACTATGGGAAGAACCAATTACACATATTTTTCAAATAGCTTTAAACATGATAATCAGAGGAAGTAAGCAAGAGGATAAGGAAGGGCAGGCCAAGTGACCAGGGTGAGCAAAGTCTACAAGAGAAAGGCACCAGGTGTGTTTGGGTAGGACTAAATGGCCTTGAATATGGCAGGAGTTTTAGGTTAGAAAAGAAGTAGGAGGAAGTAGGGGTGAGCTTTGAGGGATAGAAAGTAGAATTCAGAGAAATGTAGCTGTTCTGTGAGAGAGTGTGCACTTTGTCAGGTAGACAGCAAAACATAAGGTGAAATAGAAAAACGATCTGATCAAAATGACTTTTTTGTGATAATTAATTTCGGAACTACATGTAGGGTGGGTGTACTCTGGTGATGAGTAAGTGATGGGCAACATTTCTATGGAGAAATGCTTTGATCATCTATGTTTGAATTAGAGCTGGAAATTTGCTGAACTTAAAGTAAGATGAAGTGTATTAGGGTTTGCTTAGAAAAATGTAATGGATGAAAGATGAATTTTATATAAATTAAAAAAAATCTTTATTCCAAAATTTTTTTTTGTTTTTAGAGCACAAATAAAATGGGGTTTCATGAATTTTTTTTTTTTTTGGACTGGACTGGCCTGGAACCACAATTCTTTGATGTCAGCTTCCCATGTATCTTGGAATGAGAGGCATAGGCCACCATGCTCAGCTATTGGTTGAGATGAGGATCTTGCTAACTTTTTCTCCAGGTTGACCTCAAATGGTGATCCTCCCAATTTCAGCCTCCCAAGTAGCTGGAATTACAGACATGAGTCACTGGTACCTGCTTCTATTCTTTTAAATTTATTAAGGTATGTCTTGTGGAAAGAGAGAGACAGAGAGAGACACAGAGAACAAGAATGCATATTTTAAGCAGGCATTTTTCTCTTCCCATATTTAAGCTTGAAAAAGAAGGGGGAAATGGAAGATAAAGGTGGAACTTAAACAATAAAAACTAGTGTAGCTCATGGAGTAGACCACAGCCTCCTACTTGCAGAAAATCCCCAGGAGCTGACAAATTCATCTACACCCTTACCCATCCCCAAATAGTGAGGTGTTCATAGTAACTCAATTCCATGGAAGGGTGAACTTATCTAGACTGGTGTTATACAAGAAAAGCACAGCTCAACCACTTTAGACAGCAAGGAACAAGTATTATCTTCACAGGGAAAAGTCCAGAGTCTGAAAGACTAATTATAGTATTTCATTGCACCTAAAACACCATTGATTGAAAAATGTACATGCCACTAAAAAAAGAATAACTGCCTTTTAAACTTTGACACATTTATTATGTCTTGCATTTACTATTTTAGAAATGTTAATATATAAAATACATGTCTCAAAACAGATGATATATGATATGTGGTGCAGTGACAGCCAAAGATGGAGGTTCTTCCTATCCTTCTGCTCTGCATCCTTATGCTGCCTTCCTTAAGGCAGGCTAGAAAAGTTCTGTTGCATCCATTAAGGCAATACCCAACCTTCCCTTCCTTTGTGGCTCTATTTCTGGATTTCAATAGTGAGAATTTGTGTGAAGAAGATTCTGTGTTCTTCCAGAGTCTTTGGTTCCCAAATCTTGCTAGCAATTAGTAATATTTCTGACTGCAAAATTTCTCAAGCCTGTCTCTAAAATGTGTCCCAATCAAGTTGGTTTTCAATTCAAATAGCAAGAGTGCAAATGTGAGTGACCTGCGTGGAAAGTGGATACAGTTGGCTGGAAAGTAATGATGGATTGAATATGCTATAAAGTAGGATGATCTTAAAATTTGAATGTTGGGAATTAGTTTCTTGGCTTACTAATGAATTGATTTAAATAATTGTTAATTCATAATTGTTTTCTTTTTCTTTATCCACAAATGTACAGGCTGACTGTGTTGTTATTATTGGAGGCAAATCAAGGGAGGCAGGGACATGGATGGATGACACCTGTGACAGTAAGCGAGGCTATATATGCCAGACACCCCCTGGTAAGTTCTGCCAAACCTCACCTGACTGCAAGAGTTGGATTTTTAAGTGTGTGTGTGCATGTGTGTGTGTGTGTTTAATAGGACTATTTCCTTGCATATCAATAGGTTTGTTTTATTCTCATTTTAATCTACATGAACCGAAGGCAGATAAAAGGGGTAATTTTTTAAAAAAAATTATTCATTTATTCACATGTGCATACATTGTTTGGGTCATTTCTCCCCCTGCCCCTCTACCCTACCCTCTCCCCGACTCAGTTCTAGGCAGGTCTGTTCTGCCTTTATCAGTAATTTTGTTGAAGAAAAGACACAAGTCTAATACAGAAGACAAAGCGTTTTTGCTAGTTGAGTTGAGGATAGCTATACAGAAATATTCCTAGCATTGCTTTTGTGTACACATGTGTTATGACTCACGTTAATTCATCTCTAACTGATCTTTTCACTGGTTACTGATCCCCTTCTCATGATAACCTCTGTCGCTTTAAGGTTTCTGTATTAGCTCCTCTGGAGTGGGGACATCAAATGCTTTCATGTTTTGTGTTTTCTACCTATTCCTATATCTCCCATATGTGCTCTCCCCTTGTCATGCGATCCAAGTCCAACCACATTGCTGCATTTGCCCTAGATCTAAAGTCCGCATATGAGACAGTCAGTACATACAATATTTGGTCTTCTGAGCCTGGCTAACCTCGCTCAGAATGATGTTCTCCAATTTCATCCATTTACCTGCAAATGATATGATTTCATTCTTTTTCATGGCTGAGTAAAATTTCACTGTGTACAAGTACCACATTTTCTTGATCCATTCATCAATGGTGGGGCATCTTGGTTGTTGCCATAACTTGGCTATTGTGAATAGTGCTGCAATAAACATGGGTGTGCAGGTGCCTCTGGAGTAGCCTGTGTTGCTTTCCTTTGGGTATATCCCCAGGAGTGGAATTGCTGAGTCCTATGGCAGGTCTATGTTTAGATTTTTAAGAAGTCTCCAAATTTTTTTCCAGAGTGGTTGCATCAGCTTGCATTCCCACCAGCAGTGTAAGAGGGTTCCTTTTTCCCCGCATTCTCGCCAACACCTGTTGTTGGTGGTGTTGCTGATGATGGTTATTCTAACAGGGGTGAGGTGGAATCTTAGTGTGGTTTTGATTTGCATTTCCTAGAGATGGTGAGCATTTTTTCATGGTTTTTTTGGCCATTTGAATTTTTTCTTTTGAGAAAGTTCTGTTTAGTTCAGTTGCCCATTTCTTTATTGGTTCATTGATTTTAGGAGAGTTTAGTTTCTTAAGTTCCCTGTATATTCTGGTTATCAGTAAAAGGGGTAATTTTTAAATACTTTATTCCTGAGTCTCCTCTCATACCATTTTCAGAAAGTCCTGCACAAATTAAACTTGAAGCTGAAACTTTTCCTAATCTTATTTGAAATTTGGGACATGTCAGTCATCTTTCTGCTGCTGTGACAAAATAACTGAGGGAATCAACTTAGAAGAAGGATAAGTTACTTTGGCTCATAATTTTAAATGTTTCAGTCCATGGCCACTTGGCTCTGACATGTTAGGCCTGTAGAGAAGAACATCACGACAGGGAGCATGTGTGTGGTGGAGCAAAACTGCTCACATCATGACAGCTGGGCGGTTTCGGGGGAGAGAAAGCAAGAAAGATAGAGAAAGCTAGAGAGAGAGAGGGGAGCTGGGGTCGCAATATCACCTCCCCATGACCTTACTTCCTTCCACTAAGTCCCAGCTTTTAAAGGTTCTACCACCTCCAAATAGCATCACAGGCTAGCCTTTAGTCATGGCCTTTGGGGGATATTTAAAATACAAACCACAATAGGACTTAAAAAAAAAGCCAATGTAGGAATTCCAGAATTCTTTAGTTCAACTTGTGTAATGTGAGAACTATTGGCACAGAGCATCAGATATGCCTTGTCATTTTGTTATATATTCTTTTTCTGTAAAAAAGAAGATATCTGACTTGAGCTTCTTCTTAAATCTTAGGAAATTGTTAAATGAAAATAACTAGAATAGCAATGTCAAGCTATACAAAAGAATCAGAAATTGAGAAATTGATTAGAGGTGCCATCACCCTGAGTTCTGCTCTCAATGGCTGAGTTTGAGTTAGAAGCCCTTGTCTCTCAGATCCAGTATTTTGTTCCAGTACTTTCTGGTAAATCAGGGAAATAATGTCAACTCATGACCATGACTGAAAATCCCTTCAGATATTTTCAAATGTTTGAAAAGGACTTCAGAAATTCTAACCTTTACTTGCTCGCAAAGCCAGGCCAGGCCATGTCACTTTTCTCTTTGTACAGTTGGCCCTCTGTAGCTACAGCTTCTTCCTCACAGATTCTGCTACCCCCAACTCAAAAAAAATCAGAAAAAAGCTGCATCTCTACTCAACATGTACAGATGGTTTTTTTCTTGTCATTATTCCCTAAGCAAGGCACTTTAACAACTATTTACCCAGCATTTGCATTGTGTTAGAGATTAGAAGTAATCCAGAGAGGATTTAAAGTATATAGGAACATGTGTTTAGATTATAGGCAAGTACTACACTACTTTAATCTTATCTTTTTATTAGTTTTAAACTGATACATAAAACATGGACTGTACCTATTAAAGGGGTACTATTTTAATCCATGTATGCATTGTGTGATGTTTAAATCAGGTTAAATGCCATTTTAAACTAGGGAGTTGAGCATGCACAGATTTTGTTATCCAAGTGAAGGAGGGGGTGTCCTGGAACTGATACTGCTGTGGATACCAAGGGAGGACTGCACTATGGCCCACTGCACCTGACTCTTGGGTAGCCACTAGCACCAAAGCTGCCATCTCTACTGCTGTTCTTTGGACAAAGGGCAGGGGGAGCTCTTTTCCAGGAGTGAATGGTGATCCACAAGCTTATTCAAAATCTTCCTTTCTTCTGCTTCTAAGTGTGCATGCAAAATGTGTTGAATATTTTTGATGATTCAAAAAAAAGACACGGTGTTAAAGTGAGAAAATACAGCATATAAAATTGTACTACTATAAGTTATCAAAAAAACTTCAACAAGAATTTTAAAAACTCTAAGGAAATATATAAAATAAGAATAACTTGTTATCTTTAAACAAAGAATGTTGTGTGACTTGATTTCCTACATTTTTTCAAAACCTCTACAAATATAAACCAATATATATAAAACTTTAAAATTAACACTATTTTAAAGAATACACAAGAACTGGGGGTTGACCTCAAGTGGTAAAGCGCTTGCTTAGCAAGCACAAGTTCTTTAGTTCAATCCACAGTGCCACAAATAAATGAAGAAAGATAGACAGACATACATGTAAGACATATTCTTTGCTGAAAGTTAGAAAATACAGCAAATTATAAAGATAAAGAAAACATTAGCTATGATCTAACCACCTGGAAACAATCTAGTATTAGCTTTTTCTTTTACTTTTTTAAATAAATGTCTTTCTGAATAAGCAAATTAGATAGACCTAAATTTCCTAGTTGTAGATAGCCTTTTGTGAAACTGCTTTTTTTTTCTTTTTAGCTTTACCTCCAGCCCTGTTTACCACTTTTAATAATCCAAAAATTTCCCCATGGCATTAAGATGTACCCATATTTCTCCAAGCTGGGGACTGTAAGGCAATTCCATAGAGGCTGTAACATTTTAAGGCCAAGCTGAGGGTCTCTTGGTTTGATGATTTCATACCAACACAAGATGGCAGTAGCAGCAGAAGAGAACAGGGAGGCTGCTCTCCTGACGAAATGTAGTTAACCTTTACCAGACATGACCAAAAGGAAGCGTGACACTTCTATAGTAACAGAGCAAGGCAAATGGTGGCTTGGGTTGGTATAAAGTAGAACAGGTCAGAGAATTGGCCACGAAAAAAGTTGGTAGGGAAAGATATCAAGAACTCCAGACCAGTGACGGCTTTTTCTGAAAAGAGCCAGGCTGTGTTTTAGGTCTGTGGTCATTCAGTGTCTGTTGCTACTACTCAACTCTTTGATGGTCACAGGCAGTCTTAGCCAATATATAACTAATAAGCCTGGCTGTGTTCCAATACAATTTTATTTATGGTCCATATTTGAATTTCATGAGTGTTTATAATGTCAAGAAATATTAATCTTTGATTTTTTTTTTTAGCCATTTTAAAGCCTTGTATAGCTCATGAGCTACCAAAACCAGACAAAAGGCCTGATTTCATCTGACCTCTGCCCTAGGGCATCAGCTCGGGCATGCAGAACAAGCTCTGCTTTTGTGTCTTAAGTGGCCCAGAGTGCAGGCCTGGACATAAAGCAGTGATTAGAAACCCATGCTAAGATATTAAGGAAGAAAGATTAAGAGCTGAAATGACTCTGTTTTAAGAGGGCTCTAGCGTCTGGCTCAATATAGATAAGATGTGGGGGCCTACATGAAGGGCATAGGAAATCATCATAAGACTTCAGCTTGATCCTGAGGTCAAGGTCAAATTAACCAGGGATTTGTGTGCTTTTGTGCAGCTTCATTCCAAATCACACACAGGTCTCCCAAAGGTGCATTATTTACAGGTAAATAGAGACCAAAGATGTGAACTCATGGGTGAGGTGGAAAAAAACGCAAAGAGGATAAAGAAGATTGTTCTTGACCTTGACATTTAACCAACAGAATAAAAATTAGTAATGACGGAATGAGAGAAATTCTTTAATTTGTGGGACTAAACTGTGACCTTTCTTCTATCCAGATAGTAGATCACATTGAATTTTCAATAATATTTGCTTTTTTAGAAACTTGATCATATATCTACCGTAATATTCTATATACAGTTTGTAAATTATTTAACCAGGCATTCTGATTAAAAATAATGGCTTGTTTTCTGATGGAAAATGGCTCATGAAAATATTTTTATCATCTGCCAGTTTGGACTTAGGCTATTCTGATTGTTTTTATGATGGATGAGGTATATTAATAATATATCGATGATGCTCAATTAATGTTCATTGAGAATGCTAATGAAAATAATCATTTTATTCCAGACCCTTCCTTGCCTAATCTTCCAACAAAAGCTCCAGCAGATGGCTTTATTAAGTATGGTGAAAGCAGCTACTCACTCATGAAACTGAAGTTACCATGGCTCGAAGCAGAGAAATATTGCAAAGATTATGCTTCCCGCATTGCTAGCATTCTGGATCCCTACAGTAATGCATTTGCATGGATGCAAATGCACACATTTAATGTACCTGTGTGGATTGCCCTGAACAGTAACTTGGTAAGCTGCTGGAAACATGCACAGCTTGACATGATAGATAAATCATGGTCAAAAATGATTCTCTGTTCAATCTGTTGAATACATATTTGAAAGAAATCCTTCCGGGCAATGTGAGTGGTACTAATAAGAATAAGACTCCTAAAGCCAGAACGTGGTGGTACACATCTGTAATCCCATCACCTGGGAAGCTGAGGCAGGAGGCTTGAGAGTTCAAGGTCAGCCTGGGGTTGTGTAGTGAGTTCTAGGCTAGCTTGGACTATATAGTGAAGCCCTGGCTCAAAACAAATAATATTAAATCTTTCAAGGATCCACTAACTTCAGATATCTACTAGCTAGTGATATGTGTCAGAAATCAAACTAAGAATTATTTAACTGATATCATGCTCTTATTCCTTTTGAATGGGAAAATTATATCCTACGTCTAAACTTAGTCACTTAGTTTTTTTTCAGTAGCATGATTACAACTATGCCATGAGAATTAAGAAAGCAGGTCAGGAACATAGTGACTGGGTGATGGAGGTGCTTTTTATTTTTTGTAGCAAGCCATTCAAGAGTTGTTATAGGTCCTAAAGTTATAGAACTTCTATCTATATATGAGAAATATTTCATTGCAGTCAATGCTCTCTATTCCATGATAAAGAAAGGAAGGTTGGCAGAGAATAAAGACAGAGGGAAGAAAGAGGCTGGAAGCTAAGAGTTAGTGATAGAGTTGTCAAAATATTCCTACCATGAATTTTCTTGGATGTCTTGTAATCCATCTGTCCACCCTCCATTCATCTATTAGCTAATCAATCAGCAAACTTCCAAGTAAAAGAAAGAGATGCCAGTAGGCATTTACAAGGAAATACAAGAAATGTCAAAGAGAGGTGCATACAAAGTATTATAGGAAAAGAGAAAGAGGCCACTTGGGCCAGGGGAGAGGTCCAAGAGGGCTTCTTAAAGAAAGTCAACCATTTTAGATGTAGCCTAGGATGGTAGAGCACAAGGAAGGAATATCAGGAAGAGAAAAGGATAAAAGGGGCAATGCTGGAAAGTAGAGCTTCACATTTGCAAATCAGGTGCTCTAAGGCTTGAGCCACACCTCCAGTCCTTTTGCTCTGGTTATTCTGAAGATGAAGTCTCATGAACCGTTTGCCTTGTCTGACTTTAAATTGTGATCATCCCAATCTTGGCCTCCCAAGTAGTTAGGATTACAGGTGTAAGCCCCTGGTGCCTGTCTAGGCAAGACATTTTTTTACATATCTGTTGGTTATGATTTTATTTTATTATTTGCTTTCTAAAATTTTTTATTTATTAGCATATTATAGTTGTCCCAGGGGTACATTATGATATTTACAAAAGTGTTTATCATATGTCTTAGTTAGATTCACCCTCTCCTTCTTTCTCCTTTATCCCCCCTCCTCACCTTTTAGAACAGCTCCAATAGGTCTCATTTTTCCACTTTCATACATGAATACTTAGTACTTCCACCATATACACCCTCCTTCACCCTTTCCTTATGCCCCCCTCTCTCTCACTGATACCAACCCCTGAACAGGACTTGTTTTACCTTCCTGTCATTCATTTTTGTTTTGAAAAAGATATTTTTGCTTGTTTATGATGGTTATACAACAAGTTTCATTGTAACATTTCCATATATTTATATATATGTGTGTGTATTAATAATTAACTTGTTTCATAAAGTACTCATTCTCTTCTCATAGATGAGTCCCAGTTCTTTTTTCTTTCAAAATCTAAATTTCCTTTTTTGTTGTAAAGGCATCCTTTTATATCATATTATTGTTGTACTGGGGGTACATTGTGACATTTGCAAAAGTGCTTATAGTATATCTTAGATTCAACCCCTCCATCTTTCTCCTTTATCCTCCGTCCCCCCTTCTTAGAACAGTTCCAACAAGCATCATTTTTCCTTTTTCATATATGAGTATATAATATTTATACCATATACACCTTCCTTCACTCTTTCCTTTTATCTTCTCCCTTCCCACTGGTACCAGCCCACAGATAAGACCTGTTTTTAACCTTCCTGTCCTTCATTTTTGAAAAGACATTTTTATTTGTTTAAGATAACTGTACAGGGAGTTTCAATATGACATTTCCAAATTGGTTCATCCCCTCCATTTTTCTCCTTTCTACTTAGTCTCCTTTTTATGGTGATTTCAGCAAGTTTAAATATTCTACATTCATTCTTGTATAGGAAGTACATCAACCATATTCACCTTCTTTACTTCCTTCTTTTGCCCTGCCCCTCCTGTTGGTTCCTTTCCCTTAGCCTGACCTGTTTCTCATTCTTGTTCTTCATCATTTAAGTGTCTGTTCGTGGTTCAGTGGGATTTTTACCTTGATATCTTACCTGTACATGCATTGCAGTCACAATTCTTTGATGAGTTTAAGATTGGATTTTAGTTACTTTAAAAATATTAAATAATCTTCCACAATGCCACCATTTATGACGAAAACAGTATTGTTACTCTCCTTACATTTCTGGTGTCCATGATTATGCAGTGACTATTTAACATGGGAGAATGCTATAAACTTCTAAGTTGGGATGACATATGACTTTAATTTTTGTCATTGACCTTTGGTAATTAGTTTGGTAAACTAAATGATGTAGTTAAAATGTTTAAATTTTAAAAATGTATCTTTGTTTATTCTGTTCTTGTAAAATCTGTTTTAGCTTGAAAAATGTTGATAAATAACATTGTTGATGTTATCAGTTTGTGATTGTACATGTGTTCTATTAAATTTAATAAGCAATTTACTATGTAAATGGATAAAACAACCACATTTCTTAAAAAATGACATCATGATTCATATAGTTGAAAGACCACTTAACTAGAAGCCAAGAGAACTATGTTCTCTCTATCATTTATTCAGATCAATGACCTAAGATGTCATTTGTCACCAGTGCTGTGTTCACAGGAGAACAATGAGGAGATCAGAAGAGATTAGTGTTTCTCTCAGGGATGCCTGAAATTCCTTAATATTTATTATAACTTCAATAATGTAAGAAATATTTTGTTATAAAAGATCAAGCTTCTCCTTGGCCTTGGAAACAGAGTTTCATGGATTAAGACAGAGATTTTTTTTTTTTTTGGTCAATGTTTTTCAAAATAGTTTCCTGGGATGTATTCCTTGGGATTTCCAAGAAATAACCATTTCAAAGAAAGGATACCTATCCTGAACTTGAGTTTTTAGAACTGATTTATAATGTTCTTTTTCTTTCCAAATGTTCAAGATTCTGTGCAGATCACATTCTTAAATATACTTTCTATTCTTCATTTGGTTCTTTGGTTATTTTCTAAATGAAGTAAGACTTCACGCTCATGGTTGTTTTTATTTGAATAGACAAATAATGAATATACTTGGACTGACAAGTGGAGGATGAGGTACACTAACTGGGCCGCTGATGAACCCAAGCTGAAATCAGCGTGTGTTTATCTGGATGTTGATGGCTGCTGGAAGACATCGTATTGCAATGAAAGTTTTTATTTTCTCTGCAAAAAATCAGATGGTAATTGGAGATATGAAAACAATTGAGAGATTTGAAACTTTCTTTCTTTCTTTTTTTGAGACAGGGTCTTGTTATGTAGTTTAGGTTGGCCTCAAATTCAAACTTGTAATCTTCCTACTTCTGTCTCCCAAGTGCTGGGATTACAGACATGTACCACTATGCACCACAAATTTGAAATTTTCTGAATAAGCTACTACACACCACTGTTGATGTTATTAAACAGTAACATGTCTCGGGTAGCTAAGAATAAGACAGAACTTCCCTTTACCCAACAAAAGAATGACTTGGCTATTAACCAATGCATATGTCAAAATAATAGAGATAGAAAATTTTCTTTATGTCTAGAGTTTATTTGCTCTCTATAAATCTCTGAATGTTTACTGTTGAGTTTGTCCTCTGAGGCTATGATGATTCTCCAAGAAAGTATGCTTCCTTTTGATGTCAACAACACATCTATATTAGTAGAATTATAGCAGAATACATGTAGGTACATCAGAATCAATGATATTATGGACACAGTCCTAGAATTCAACTATATCATGTGTATCATAGGAGCTGTTACTAGCTGAAAAGAATTTATAAGGGTAAGGATCCCAGAAAAGGAAAATAGTGGATTAAAAGGGGAATCTCTTTATAAATTATTTTTAGGGTGACTCTTTAAACTTATTGTGTTAGGTATTTATAGATCTATAGTCCTAAATTATGTGTTTAATTGAATGCCACTGTATCCTAGTGCATTCTGCTGAAACACACTTAAAATGGTAAAGTAAACGAAAACCCAATAATAAAAATGGTGCTTCCAAGTGATAAATATTAGAAGTGTTTTTTTGTAATGATTGAAAACAGTTTTCCTTGGCTGCAAAAAATATTATTCTACACACTATGGAAACCTTTGACTTTGCTGTGTTAAAAAATTTTTTTTTATTAACAGAAATTCCTGCCACTGAGCCTCCACAACTGCCCGGCAGATGTCCAGAGTCAGAGCACACTGCGTGGGTTCCTTTCCATGGTCACTGCTACTATATTGAGTCTTCATTTACGAGGAATTGGGGTCAAGCATCTCTGGAATGCCTTCGAATGGGTAAGTGCCACATTTCCTAAAAGAAAATTTCACAATCATCTATTCTTGAGTCGAGTGACATGAATAGCATTTCATTAAAACATCAGGAATGTGTAACATTTTTCTCTGTGGCACTGTGGTTCAAACTCAGGACCTTGCACATGCTAGGTAAATCCTCTGCCAGTGAGGTCCACAGCCCCGTCGTTACTTTTTTGTTAACAGAATGGATAGCATCATGCCTCTAAAATGTAATTTTTAACTTTATAACTTCAAAATTTTAGAGAGAGCAGGTTAAAAAAAACCTAAAACAATAATTTGGTGAATAAATCTTTCTGTCCTAATGCTCTCAATCTGTAGGAGTCTCATCTGTATTTGTACTCACTTCTTACTACTGATTAACTCTGATTTTACAAGTATGCAGGTTTTACATCTAGTTATTATATTTGTTAAGGAAAAAACCCTCAAATAGCCATGACAGAGATGAATGAAATTCTCCCTGAAGTAAAAAAAAAAAATCTGATATTATTTTTTCTTAAGACAAGGACTCACTATGTACTCTAGGCTGGCCTTGAACTCTTGATCCTTCTGCCTCAGCCTCCCACGTCCTGGGATTACAAGTGAGAACCACCACACCTGGTAGAAGATAATTTTTCAGAATGCATTTAAAAGCCACCTAATTCAGTGAGATTTAACAATCTCACTGAATATTTTATAGAATTACTTTTACTACATTTTTATTATGCCCTAACTTAGGATTCTTCAGCGGACAGTGAAATGCAAGGATTACATTCTCATTTCCTTCAAGTTCATTCAAATGTCAACCTTGACCTTTAAGTTCTGAGTAAGATAAAAGCTGCTTTATCAGTTTTTGATTTGCGTATTTTGGGTTTTTGTTGTCAGGTACATATATGTCCATATTATCATATTTTCCTGATTAGTTGAAATTTTCTCATTATACAATATCCTTATTATCTTTAGTAATATTTCTATCTAAAAGTGTATTTTGTCTCATCTTAGTATAGTTATTCCAGTTCTTTTTAAGTTATTGTTTGCATAGTATATGTTTTCACATGGTTTTACTTTTTGTTGGGGAATATTTGACATATCCATAGCATTTTTTTCTCCTTACATTCCTTATTGCATGTCATATTTAGATAATGTAAGCTATAATTCTGAGAAGGAAAATGTTTGCTAAATGAAATTCTTCCCCTAAATGGGGATATTGAGCTGGTTTTTGTTGCTCTTAACATCAATACTATTTATAAAAATATTTTTAGCTACTTAAAGATACTCCCAATATATTTGTTCTTTCTTCCTTTGCAGGCTCCTCTCTGGTTTCCATTGAAAGTGCTGCTGAATCTAGTTTTCTGTCATATCGAGTTGAACCTCTCAAAAGTAAAACCAATTTTTGGATAGGCATGTTCAGAAATGTTGAAGGTATTATAAATATTTCAAAATGTTGTATATAAAACAAGCCTTCAGTTCCAGAAAGCCTTGACTTAAATAATGATTAATTTGTGATGAGTTTGAAAATTTAAACTCATATTTTTGAGATAAGAACCAAAAGCTTAAATGACTCACATAAGGTCCTATCTTCAAAGTTGCTAATTAATAAACATTTTCTGTAGATAAGTTAAAGAAGGTTTTATGAGCATTTTCATTTTTTCTACAATAAAAAAGCCAAGGAAAAATAGGAATAAATATTTCTACTAATTAGAAATAAATTTTCAAGTAAAGCTATATAATAAACATACTCTTCTTGGTTTCCTTCCCTGTAATAATTAGTCATTATAGTCTTGCTTGTTAAAAGTCTGGTTACAGCTGTTGATTCTAGTATAAAATAATATGCTTTTGTATGATAAGCTAAACTTAAGATGGTTTATTTTTTATTATTATTATTTTTGACAGTACTGGGGTTTGAACTCAAGGCCTTGCACTTGACAGGCAGTCACTCTACCTCTTGAGCCATGCCCTCAGCTCCAAGATGGGTTATTTTTAACTTCTGTTTTTATTGTTTTCATTTGATGACCAGGAAAGTGGCTCTGGTTAGACAACAGTCCAGTCTCCTTTGTCAACTGGAACACAGGAGATCCCTCTGGTGAACGAAATGATTGTGTACTTTTAACTGCATCTTCTGGGTTTTGGAATAATATTCACTGTACTTCCTACAAAGGATTTATCTGTAAAAGACCAAAAAGTAAGTAAAAAGTTTGTCATATGGTTCATAGATTCCCTGGCTACCCTTTTTTTCAAATAGTAAATTCCAGGTATGAGATTACGATGTGATTATGGGCCCATTGCAAGCTGTTCTCTGTTCTGGAGATCACTTGCTGCTTACAGCTGTGAGTGAGAGGTACTCTATTTGCCTAGCTAAAGTCATTATTTTGTTCTATCAATACATTTATAATGGAATATCCATGCATATGGACTTTCTAAGTTGCAAGCAGTAGGACAACCTATCTTCAAAGCCTTATTGCACTAAGGGAAAGGTGAGAAACAGTCACCAGTTCAAACCAGAAGAGGCCAGGGTTCTGGAGAGAGATAAGAGTCAATTCTGGAATAAGTCATGTAAGATCAATTTGTTTCTATCTCAGATTGAGTGGGAGATCGTGAAAAGAAATGAACTGGGGGAAGCTAATAGATAATGGCACACTGTCTAGGTTTTAATGCCATTCTACCCCACATAATAGTCTTCTTAACAGATGAAGTTATAAATATAAATAAATGACTTAGATAAACTAATTCTGCTCTCTCAGTAAGTTATATTATTTTAGAATTGTGCTGATTTTAAACCTTCTTTAACTCTGTTTAGAGATGCCACAACCTCTGCTGCAATGTTGCAATCTTACTTTTCATTCAATACCTTGGTTTTTTTTTTTATTATTCATATGTGCATACAAGGCTGGGTCATTTCTCCCCCCTGCCCCCACCCCCTCCCTTACCACTCACTCCACCCCCTCCCTCTCCCCCTCACCCCCTTGATACCCAGCAGAAACTATTTTATTCAATACCTTGTAATAACTAGGCTTCAGTGGGCCAGTTTCAAAGCCTCTAACTTAGACTATATATGGGTAGACTGGGAAGGTTTTTAAAGTATCAGTGTTCCAAAGCAACTTGGAGGACCACATTTTCAGATTTCTGAAATAATCAAGCTCATCATAGATCTGTAGAATGCTGCTGTAGCATACATAGACAGATGGATGAATAGACAGATGGACAGACAGATAGATAATATGTAGATAGGTAGGTAGATAGGTATCTTTCTGTATATCCATTAGTCCATCCAGCTACGTCATATTATAAGCCAAATATGGAGGATCCCATGTATCTCTGAGCCAAATGAAACTATCTACGTTCAGTGATTACAGATTTTTATAATAACTTACTCCTTTTTTTACCCACAGTTATTGACACTGAGCCTACTCATACATCAACGACAACAAAAGGTAATGCTATCGTCAAATTTCAAGTTGAGTATTAACAATATGTCAATCCAGTTTGTTTTAAAAGCCATAATAATAATCCATTCCCACTCCCCCCTTCACTTTCACTAAAATTGCTTCAGCTAACTAATCTTTTTCATTAGGTCATCAGTCTACCTCAAATGACATTTTAGAAAAATAGGTCTTGGAGTCAGGCTAGTGTTTTTACTTTACGAGGTTTTTGAAGACATTATTTGCCCTATTACAAGAATTGCCTTAGGAAAACTCAGAAAGATATTTCTCTCAAGAAGTTTTCTTGGACATTTTCTTTTCTCAGTGAAGCTTTTTGTTATAAAAATTTTTACAGAAAACTTGGATTAGGTAACTAATCCTATTGTACTTATATCATTGGCTGCTAAAAAAAACCCTCAATGTGAGGATTATGACCAATAACCACCTATTCACCTCTTGGCTATAACCTGTGTACATATTATACTCATGAGTTACAATTCCTATTACTGCTTTATTTTTCCCTACTTTTTTCATTTATTTGTAATCATCGTTATTATTATTACTATCTATATATCTTCTTCTTATAAGAAGATAAGCAGCCTTGAATTATTCTGAAACAAGATATACACTGATCAGCTCAATTCTGCATAGAGAGATGAAGTATTTTTGCAGCTGAACAGTGATCTTAACATGGTAAATAATCCTCTATGTCATGCTGACTCTAGTTTTTGTGTCTTGCGTTTCTTCTTGATAAATGTCACTCAAAAATACTCATGCATTTATTTTTTCCAACAATTTGTATTGTTTTGTATAGTGTTCTGTCCTCTGTCTCCCTACATTTGTTTTCTAATTTTACTTATTTATAGCTGACTCAAGGAAGATGGAGCCTCCCAAACAGTCTTCCAGCATGGCAGGAGTGGTGGTCATTGTGATCCTTCTAATTGTCGCAGGTGCTGGCCTCACTGCCTATTTCTTTTATAAGAAACGACGCACGCACATACCTCAAGAGAGCACCTTTGAAAACACTCTCTATTTTAACAGTCAATCAAGTTCAGGAATGAGTGACACAAAAGATCTCATGGACAATATTGAACAGAATGAACACGCAGTCATATAGTATAACGCAATGATGTTATATTTGGATTTCATAAAATTGTAAAGTTTTAGATTCTTTGATTCAATGTGATTGTGTCTTTTAAAAAATAGTACTGTAATGCACTGGTCTGTTCTTTTCTTTGCCTAATTGAAGAAATAATTGCTCATTTTCTAACCTGGCAAGATATTTTTATAAAAAGGGATAATAGTGCTGATTACACATTTTATAAGATCTTAGGTGAATACACAGCACTACAGTGTCAGTGTTCAAACATCATTGGTGGTAGCTCCTATAACTGCATACATATTACAAGAACTCTACAAATAACCAACCTAGCCTTTTGGAATAATTTAAGGAAATCCCAAAGATAAGCTGCTACCCACTGCATTGTAATTCAGCTAGAAGACCATTTTAAAAACAAGTATAAGTAACCTCATGTGGAAAAAAAATGTAGTCAGTGTCTTTTTCATCAGTTGATTTCACTCCAATTATTTCAAGTTGTCTTTGCCCATGTGTAGAAGAATAAGGCAGCTGAGAGTCTTGTTTTCCCCAAACAAGGTTTTACAGGCTGAATATTGCAAATGTGTTCTTTGTCCTGTTGTCTGTATATCAGGAAGGCAAAGATGTGAAATAAAAATGTAAATGTACATAACTGGATGTACTTAGATAATGTGAAATAAACATTAAAGATAAGGTCTATTTTTAATACACTTGCATTTTGGTGATCTTGTTAAGTGTACATTTCCTTTAAAATGACTTATTTACTTTACATCTTAAATTTACTCTTAAAATAAATGATATTATTAATAGTAGAATACTAAATCGAATTCATCTGTTTGGAAAAGGTATGTTGCTAAACTCATGTATAAAATGAAACTTTTTATCCTAATAATTTGCATAGTTTCCCCAGATTATATCTTATAACATTGACTCAACTCAGAATTCAACAATCAAAGTCACTGTTTTTGAAAATCAAAACTTTAAATCAGCCAGGCATGGTGGTACACAGTTATAATCCCAAAAATTAAGAAGTGGAGGTAGGAGGATCATAAGTTTGAGGCCAACCTGGGTTATATAGTGAGACCCTGTCTCAAAAAAAAACCCACTCATTTTCTGACTTTAGCAATTCATTTTTGCTTAAGAATCTTGCCTTAGATAAAGTTTTGCATTCCTTGTGAAATACTTTATAGGTTGCACATTCCCACAGAGGTCATACAGCCTTCTCATCCTTTTAATTTCTTAAGGGAGTGCCCATGGGCAGGAATTCTTCACCAGGGCACTTGACAGGCCCCCTGGGATGGCATCAAGGAGGCAGCCAGGGTGCCAAATGTGGTGTTTATTTGTGTTTGTGCCCTTTGCTTGGGTAAGAAGAATAGCTATGTTTTAAGACAGTCCATAATTCAAAAAAGACTAAGATGGAGTTCCCAATACACCAGTTTATGTGGGTGACATGGAGAAAGAAACAGAAACCGAGAGGTGGGAAATCATGGGAAATGTTTTCCGGCACAAAGCAAATTGCCTTTTGTTTTCTTGATAAGAACAAAACATACTCTGAAGAAGTTCTGATGAAAATAGTGGCTAGATCATCAAAGCAGTGTGTGGTGAATTATAAAGGAAATTTCTTCTCTCTCTCTCTTTGTGCATGTGTGTTTTCCCTCCTCAAAATAAATGAGACAACTGGAAATAGGGAATGAGAAAAATACATGAGTGGGCATGGTTTACAAATTCTTTATATAAGTCTTTTCATAATAATTCAGGGCTGTATCTTCACAGGAAATATTTTGTACTCCAAACAATATATCTCTCAGACTCAACTACCTTATTTCAAGAAACAATCTGTGTTTGACAGGGTAGCTGAGTATTGTATTTCACACTCTTGCATCATCCACTTGAGCACATAATCAAGTAGATAAGTCATAAGTCCTGTGTATCTACATACCTACCCAAACACAGCATTCAAATATCCAAGATGTATTTTGGGAGGAGGTATTGGGTGGAGAAAGCAGTCTTTTTGTTGTTTGCTTTATTCTTTTCCTTTTGGTTTGATTGCTGTAATTTATTTATTGTTGAGTTTTTTTGCTTTTTTTTTTAAACCAGTTCTTCCTGGGAATTAGACATTTAAGTACCTTTGCTCTCCTCACTGGCTTTGCATGCAGTTCTGGTTTTTGTCAGAATTCAGAGGCTGGAAGATTCTTACAGATACTTTTCCCCGGTCAAACTCAATGTGAATAGTCTGTAACTTGAAGTCTAAAAGTAAAGATGATACCTGCCGAAACTGGCTAACTGAACTCATTCATTTATCAGTATCTATTCATAGATCTGTTTGCAAATTTATCCATTGTTTTATCAAATGTTGCTTGTTCTATGTTCCAGGCATTGAGCTATACCCTGTAGATTCAATATAAGTAAGAAGCAATGCCTGCCCACAAGAAGGTCTAGCAATGGTCCACATCCACAGATCATTTCCCAACAATATGGCAGATACACTGGTAGAACATGCTAAAGTTATTCATATACAGTGGGAGATGAAAGCATGGTTGCTAGCAGGGGTAGAGCCAAGTTTTGTAGGCACTGAAGATTACATTTGGGGAGTGGTGGCTCTTTTACGAAAAAGACTACAAGCCTGGGGTCTGGCTCTAGTGGTAGTGTGACTGCCTAGTAAGCACATACATGGCTCTGAGTTCAAACCTCATTGAAAATTCTTAGAAGTTGGTAACTGTATCAAACACCACAAATTGAGAATAATTACACATTAATTTTAGTATTTAGCTTTCTGATATACTTCCTAATTTGCTGGGGCTGCTATAAGAAAATACTTTGGCTTAAACAACAGATATTTTTTGTCATAGTTCTGAGGTCTGAGTCCAGAGTCAAGCATTGGGTTCATCTGAAGTCTCTCTCTTTGAGTTATAGATGGCCACCCTCCTACTATCTCTCACATGGGTACCCCTCTGTGTGCATCCTTAGTGTCTGTGTGTCATAATCTCATTTTATAAGGATGTTTATAAGGATGGATACCATCCTTATAAGATTGGTTTAGAACTCACCACAATGGCCTCATTTTAGCTTAATCACTTCTTGAAAGGCCATATGTAAAAAGTCATAATTCTGAATTAATGTGGATTAGAGTTGCAGCATAAGAATTTGGAGACATAAAATTCAATCCATACTTACTTCTCTAACACTTCTTTTTTATTGTCCTTTGTATTCATCTGTATTCTTCAGAGAAACAGAAGCAAGTGCATATGTGGAGAAAGAGAGAGAGAGAGAGAGAGAGAGAGAGAGAGAGAGAGAGTTTTTAAAGAATTAGTGCACATGACTTGGGAATTCTAAAATCTACAGGATATAGACCACCAGGCTGGAGACCCCAGGAGTTGCAGTTCAAGAGCGGCTCTGATGCTTAAGCTTCATTAACTTCACTTTGAATGTCAGCAATGGCTTCTGGGAGAGGTGCCACTTAAGTGACAAGCTGAGCACCTTGGAGGGAAGGAAGACAGCAGAGATGGCCACTGGAGAGGGGAAAAGCTTGAGCAAAGCCGCACAGATATGAAGCAGCTGAGCATAAAGTGGGAGGAACATGGAGAGGTGGCAGGCCTGGAGCTCAACAAACATTTACCCGAACGGTGACGTGACCATTCCACTCTGTGAGCCTCCCTCCACTTTCCTGCATTCACAGCATCCTGGTGTGGTGTCAGGCCCTGTCCACACGACCCAACTGAAGAGGCCACATGTCTTGTTATGTAATCAGAGCTGCATGTGTAATCTGGCCCAATTTAAAAGAGGACAATGATAATGCTTCTTTACACCCAGACATTCAAATTTTGGCTCACAATTTACTCTGACAGCCTCATAAAAGTCTTAGCCTCAGAGACTTTCAGAGATGTGGGTTACATAACCATGGGATGCATAGAACGATTGTCTTTTCTCATTAACAAAGTGGGAGGTAGAAACTCCTACCTTAATTTGGAAATATTCATATTACTCAGAATACAAAACACCTATATTAGTGAGAATTTATTCTCTGTTGGTATCTTATGGAAACCAATTTCATTAACTATGTGTTCTGATGCACTTTGTAATTACCACTCTGGACCCAACAAACCAGAATCCAGGGCTGGGACTCTGGCATGGCTTTAGTTAACAGAACTAGCAAAGCTCCAGGTGACGATTTTGGATTATAAAGTGCTATGGGTTGGGGGTGTCACCTCCAAGATTCAGGTGTTGAGACTTAATGCCGATGGGATGGTATTGCAGGTGGGGCCTCTGAGAGATGAGTAGGTCAACAGGGCTCCTCCCTTGTAAATGTGGTTAAGATCCTTATAAAAGAAGCTTTCTGCAGCATGCAGTAATTTTGCCCTTCTCCCTTTCACCATGTGAGGGTACAGCCTTCCTCCCCTCCCAAGGGTGCAGCTGAAGGGCTTGTGTAAGATGCCAGCAGCTTGATCTTGGATTTCTCCCCCACCAGAATGGTAAGAAAATAAGTTTTTCTGTTCTTTATAAATTGCCCAGACTATGGTATTCAAGTATATCAGCACAAAGGGACTAAGACATGAAAATATTTAATATTAGTTAATGTTAAATAGTATCAGCTTGAAGATATAAACTATTCCTGAGGATTCCCTAGCAGTTCAAATTCTTGAGAATATGCATATACTAATCTCTCACAGTTATGGGAGAGCAGTCAATGAATTTCTTGATGTAGAATGGCTACCCATAAAATAATCTCTTTTTTTTAAAAACCAAAGATAGGGTGTGGGCCAACAATTGTCACATTCTAATTTGCCTTTTCATACTTCTTGTTTTTCTTAGGTAATTCATATCAAATAAGAAATTTCCTCAAAATATTGGCTTTGGTTAAGCCTCACTAGATGTTACCTTAAAAATGTATCAGGAGACTGTTTCAACTGGACATTTCCAGGAGCGTTTTAACTCCTGCTATTAGCGTGTCTTTAGCATTCTGTAAATAGTGTTTTTCCTTTGGCAGGGCCCCCTGACAGGCAGTTTCTTTCAAGAGAAGTGATGCTGACATTGGAAAGATTCCCTGAGCTGGCTGGAGATCCCAAATGTGCTGTGGGAGCTTTAAAACGTTCACGTTATTCATGGTGGCTCCGCACAGTGAGGTTTTGGCGATGGTCATTGATCTCCTTGAGCTAGCTGGGAGGGATAAGTGGAAATCCTTCCTATCGCAGCTTTCTCCTTATTACCCTGATTACAAAAGAGTTCCCTAGGAATTTTAGTGCACAGAGTTCCCTAGGAATTTTAAAGAACCCCACAAAGCTACCATGCTCTCTTTTTTTCTGTAGATTTAAGTTTTTTCTTTAATAGCAAGAAAATTCAAGCTCTCTGGGTCTGTAACTGATGTATGGTTTTAGCAGTTTTGCTGGGTGTGAGAAAGTCACATGAGTTTGTACAAATTTCAGCTTCCACTTGGTCCATAATTATAATTCTGACCAAAGTAGCCCTGGATCAGAATCCTGGAATCTGGGTGCCAACAGCCATCTGAAAGATTCGGAGACAGCAGCTTTTAGAGTAGACTTTGATGAGCTATTTATTTTGGAGTCCTATTATATTGAAATAGTATATCCTGGGCTGGGCCTAGTGGCTCACAGCCATAGTCTCAGCTACTCGTGGATTTAACTCTATCTGAAAAACAAACCAAAAGCAAAAGGCCTGGGGCGGGGTGTGTGGCTCAAGTGGTAGAACACTTG